GCCCACCCTGTGTGTCCACCCTGTGTGACCACCCTGTGTGTCCACCCTGAGTGTCCACCCTGTGTGCCCACCCTGTGTGCCCACCATGTGTGTCCACCCTGTGTGTCCGCCCTGTGTGTCCACCCTGTGTGTCCACCCTGTGTGTCCGCCCTGTGTCTTCACCCTGTGTGTCCGTCCTGTGTGTCCGTCCTGCTGTGTCCACCCTGTGTTTCCACCCTGTGTGTGTCCACCCTGTGTGTCCACCATGTGTGTGTCCACCCTGTGTGTCCACCCTGTGTGTGTCCGCCCTGTGTGTCCACCCTGTGTGTGTGCGCCCTGTGTGTCCACCCTGTGTGTCCACCCTGTGTGTCCAACCTGTGTGTCCACCCTGTGTGTCCACCCGGTGTGTCCGCCCTGTGTGTCCACCCTGTGTGTCCACCATGTGTGTCCGTCCTGTGTGTCCACCCTGTGTGTCCGCCCTGTGTGCCCACCCTTATGTTTCCACCCTGTGTGTCCGTCCTGTGTGTCCACCCTGTGTGTGTGCGCCCTGTGTGTCCACCCTGTGTGTCCGCCCTGTGTGTCCACCCTGTGTGTCCGCCCTGTGTGTCCACCCTGTGTGTCGACCCTATGTGTCCGTCCTGTGTGTCCACCCTGTGTGTCCGCCCTGTGTGTAGACCCTGTGTGTCCACCCTGTGTGTCCGTCCTGTGTGTCCACCCTGTGTGTCCGCCCTGTGTGTTCACCCTGTGTGTCCGTCCTGTGTGTCCGTCCTGCTGTGTCCACCCTGTGTTTCCACCCTGTGTGTGTCCGCCCTGTGTGTCCACCATGTGTGTGTCCACCCTGTGTTTCCACCCTGTGTGTATCCACCCTGTGTGTCCACCCTGTGTGTCCACCCTGTGTGTGTGCGCCCTGTGTTTCCGTCCTGTGTGTCCGCCCTGTGTGTCCACCCTGTGTGTCCACCCTGTGTGTGTCCACCCTGTGTGTCCACCCTGTGTGTCCACCCTGTGTGTCCAACCTGTGTGTCCACCCTGTGTGTCCACCCTGTGTGTCCGCCCTGTGTGTCCACCCTGTGAGTCCACCATGTGTGTCCGTCCTGTGTGTCCACCCTGTGTGTCCGCCCTGTGTGCCCACCCTATGTGTCCACCCTGTGTGTCCGTCCTGTGTGTCCACCCTGTGTGTGTGCGCCCTGTCTGTCCACCCTATGTGTCCGCCCTGTGTGTCGACCCTGTGTGTCGACCCTGTGTGTCCGTCCTGTGTGTCCACCCTGTGTGTCCGCCCTGTGTGTCCACATTGTGTGTCCACCCTGTGTGTCCGTCCTGTGTGTCCACCCTGTGTGTCCGCCCTGTGTGCCCACCCAGTGTGTCCACCCTGTGTGTCCACCCTGTGTGTCCACCCTGTGTGTCCACCCTGTGTGTTCGTCCTGTGTGTCCGCCCTGTGTGTCCACCCTGTGTGTCGACCCTGTGTGTGCGTCCTGTGTGTCCACCCTGTGTGTCCGCCCTGTGTGTCCACCCTGTGTGTCCACCCTGTGTCCCTCCTTTGTGTCCACCCTGTGTGTCCGCCCTGTGTGCCCACCCTGTGTGTCCACCCTGTGTGTCCACCCTGTGTGTCCGTCCTGTGTGTCCACCCTGTGTGTCCGTCCTGTGTGTCCGTCCTGTGTGTCCGTCCTGTGTGTCCGTCCTGAGTGTCCACCCTGTGTGTCCTCCCTGTGTGTCCGTCCTGTGTGTCCACCCTGTGTGTCCACCCTGTGTGTCCACCCAGTGTGTCCAACCTGAGTGTCCAACCTGAGTGTCCGCCCGGTGTGTCCGCCTTGTGTGTCCACCCAGTGTGTCCACCCTGTGTGTCCGTCCTGTGCGTCCGCCTTGTGTGTCCACCCAGTGTGTCCACCCTGTGTGTCCGTCCTGTGTGTCCGTCCTTTGTGTCCACCCAGTGTGTCCGCCCGGTGTGTCCGTCCTGTGTGTCCAACCTGTGTGTCTGTCCTGTGTGTCCGTCCTGTGTGTCCACCCTGTGTGTCCACGCTGTGTGTCCACCCTGTGTGTCCGTCCTGTGTGTCCGTCCTGTGTGTCCACCCTGTGTGTCCGTCCTGTGTGTCCGTCCTGTGTGTCCGTCCTGTGTGTCCACCCTGTGTGTCCACCCTGTGTGTCCGCCCGGTGTGTCCACCCTGTGTGTCCACCCTGTGTGTCCACCCAGTGTGTCCAACCTGAGTGTCCAACCTGAGTGTCCGCCTTTTGTGTCCACCCAGTGTGTCCACCCTGTGTGTCCGTCCTGTGTGTCCAACCTGTGTGTCTGTCCTGTGTGTCCGTCCTGTGTGTCCGTCCTGTGTGTGTACCCTGTGTGTCCGCCCGGTGTGTCCGTCCTGTGTGTCAAACCTGTGTGTCCGTCCTGTGTGTCCACCCTGTGTGTCCACGCTGTGTGTCCACCCTGTGTGTCCTCCCTGTGTCCCTACCCTGTGTGCCCACCATGTGTGTCCACCCTGTGTGCCCACCCTGTGTGTCCACCCTGTGTGTCCGCCCTGTGTGCCCACCATGTGTGTCCACCCTGTGTGCTCACCCTGTGTGCTCACCCTGTGTGTCCACCCTGTGTGCCCACCATGTGTGTCCTCCCTGTGTGCCCACCCTGTGTGCCCACCCAGTGTGCCTACCCTGTGTGCCCACCCTGTGTGTCCACCTTGTGTGTCCACCCTGTGTGTCCGCCCTGTGTGTTCACCCTGTGTGTCCGTCCTGTGTCCGTCCTGCTGTGTCCACCCTATGTTTTCACCCTGTGTGTGTCCGCCCTGTGTGTCCACCCTGTGTGTCCACCCTGTGTGTATCCGCCCTGTGTGTGTGCGCCCTGTGTGTCCACCCTGTGTGTCCACCCTGTGTGTCCAACCTGTGTGTCCACCCTGTGTGTCCACCCGGTGTGTCCACCCGGTGTGTCCGCCCTGTGTGTCCACCCTGTGTGTCCACCATGTGTGTCCGTCCTGTGTGTCCACCCTGTGTGTCCGCCCTGTGTGCCCACCCTATGTGTCCACCCTGTGTGTCCGTCCTGTGTGTCCACCCTGTGTGTGTGCGCCCTGTGTGTCCACCCTGTGTGTCCACCCTGTGTGTGCGCCCTGTGTGTACACCCTGTGTGTCCACCCTGTGTGTCCACCCTGTGTGTCCGTCCTGTGTGTCCACCCTGTGTGTCCACCCTGTGTGTGTGCGCCCTGTGTGTCCGTCCTGTGTGTCCGCCCTGTGTGTCCACCCTGTGTGTCCACCCTGTGTGTGTCCGCCCTGTGTGTGTGCGCCCTGTGTGTCCACCCAGTGTGTCCGTCCTGTGTGTCCACCCTGTGTGTCCACCCTGTGTGTCCACCCTGTGTGTGTGTGCGCCCTGTGTGTCCATCCTGTGTGTCCGCCCTGTGTGTCCACCCTGTGTGTCCACCCTGTGTGTGTCCGCCCTGTGTGTGCGCGCCCTGTGTGTCCACCCAGTGTGTCCACCCTGTGTGTCCACCCTGTGTGTCCACCCTGTGTGTCCGTCCTGTGTGTCCACCCTGTGTGTGTCCACCCTGTGTGTCCACCCTGTGTGTCCACCCTGTGTGTCCGTCCTGTGTGTCCGCCCTGTGTGTCCACCCTGTGTGTCGACCCTGTGTGTCCGTCCTGTGTGTCCACCTTGTGTGTCCGCCCTGTGTGTCCACCCTGTGTGTCCACCCTGTGTGTCCGTCCTGTGTGTCCACCCTGTGTCCGCCCTGTGTGCCCACCCTGTGTGTCCACCCTGTGTGTCCACCCTGTGTGTGTCCGCCCTGTGTGTGTGCGCCCTGTGTGTCCACCCAGTGTGTCCACCCTGTGTGTCCACCCTGTGTGTCCACCCTGTGTGTCCGTCCTGTGTGTCCACCCTGTGTGTGTCCACCCTGTGTGTCCACCCTGTGTGTCCACCCTGTGTGTCCGTCCTGTGTGTCCGCCCTGTGTGTCCACCCTGTGTGTCGACCCTGTATGTCCACCCTGTGTGTCCACCCAGTGTGTCCAACCTGAGTGTCCAACCTGAGTGTCCGCCCTGTGTGTCCGCCTTGTGTGTCCACCCAGTGTGGCCACCCTGTGTGTCCGTCCTGTGTGTCCAACCTGTGTGTCTGTCCTGTGTGTCCGTCCTGTGTGTCCGTCCTGTGTGTCCACCCTGTGTGTCCGCCCGGTGTGTCCGTCCTGTGTGTCCAACCTGTGTGTCTGTCCTGTGTGTCCGTCCTGTGTGTCCACCCTGTGTGTCCACGCTGTGTGTCCACCCTGAGTGTCCGTCCTGTGTGTCCACCCTGTGTGTCCGTCCTGTGTGTCCGTCCTGTGTGTCCACCCTGTGTGTCCACCCTGTGTGTCCGCCCGGTGTGTCCACCCTGTGTGTCCACCCTGTGTGTCCACCCAGTGTGTCCAACCTGAGTGTCCAACCTGAGTGTCCGCCCGGTGTGTCCGCCTTGTGTGTCCACCCAGTGTGTCCACCCTGTGTGTCCGTCCTGTGTGTCCAACCTGTGTGTCTGTCCTGTGTGTCCGTTCTGTGTGTCCGTCCTGTGTGTCCACCCTGTGTGTCCACCCTGTGTGTCCTCCCTGTGTCCCCACCCTGTGTGCCCACCATGTGTGTCCACCCTGTGTGCCCACCCTGTGTGTCCACCCTGTGTGTCCACGCTGTGTGTCCACCCTGTGTGTCCTCCCTGTGTCCCCACCCTGTGTGCCCACCATGTGTGTCCACCCTGTGTGTCCACCCTGTGTGTATCCACCCTGTGTATCCACCCTGTGTGTCCACCCTGTGTGCCTTCGTGTTTTGCGGTGAATTATTTTCCTTGTAGTGATGAAGAAAAGTTTCGAAATATTATTCACTAAGACAATGAACGACACGAACAAGCAAATACAATCCTTCAATCTTTGAATTCTTCAGAATTGTCATTATAAACCAAACTTGACAGTGTGAAGTCAAATATATATTTTTATATGGTCCCAATTTGGGAAATTGAATTACGAAAAAAAAGGTGATAAGGAGTCACTCAAAAATTATCCATAAATTAGTTAATTGATAATTTATTTTTTGGGGAAGGTGGGGTTAGGTAGAAGTGACTGGTAAGTGAGAGAACGACGCCGCTAAGAACTGCTGCTGTTTGTAGAAGCTGAGAAGACTGTCACTAACTGGTCGAGACAAACAGCCTGTCACAAGCAACATGACTGGGTAAGCGTGCACATGATCACTACATTAAAGATGCTCTTGAGTGTTGGGGAGGACTGCTCCTTCAGATGTTGTAATGCAACATTCCAAACATTAGTTATGAGTAGATATACATCAATAAATGATTTGATTTATAGAATATTAATTACAAGATGTTATTTATTGGCCATTAATGTTGTATTGACAGTTCTGAATTATGAATCCTTCAGGGGTTCGAATCCTTCAGGGGGTCAAGAGTTTTCTGATGTGTCAGCTTGGGGACCATTCACGCTTGCATATATATATATATATATATATATATATATATATATATATATATATATATATATATATATATATATATATATATATATACACGTGTAAACAATTAAAATGCATCAGTACAATTAGCTGTATGTGTTTCAAGCAGATATTATTGTGCCAATTATTTACAACCAATTAGATCACAATGTTTATATAAATTTCAGAACATCTCCATTTTTGTTTTGTTTTTCAGAAAATACTGCTACCGAACATAAGCAAAATTTGCATGTGCATATTCCAAGCCTAATGCCGGTAAATTGCAACAATTGCAACAGTGCTAAAAAGGATTTAATTAAACCATTCTTGCCCTATGGTGGAGATATATATTTTTTGCATGTAATTCAAGCGCTTAATTCTGTCTGATTTTGACGTTTTCCCACAAATTCTTGTTTTTTTGTTTGTTTTTCCTTGCAATTCTTGCCGTTTTTTGTTTGTTTTTCCTCGCAATTCTTGCCGTTTTTTGTTTGTTTTTCCTCGCAATTTTTGCCGTTTTTTGTTTGTTTTTCCTCGCAATTCTTGCCGTTTTTTGTTTGTTTTTCCTTGCAATTCTTGCCGTTTTTTGTTTGTTTTTCCTCGCAATTTTTGCCGTTTTTTGTTTGTTTTTCCTCGCAATTCTTGCCGTTTTTTGTTTGTTTTTCCTTGCAATTCTTGCCGTTTTTTGTTTGTTTTTCCTCGCAATTTTTGCCGTTTTTTGTTTGTTTTTCCTCGCAATTCTTGCCGTTTTTTGTTTGTTTTTCCTCGCAATTCTTGCCGTTTTTTGTTTGTTTTTCCTTGCAATTCTTGCCGTTTTTTGTTTGTTTTTCCTCGCAATCCTTGCTGTTGTTTTTGTTTCTTATCTCTCTCCATCTACTGTCACTTCATTGTTCTTTTGTTTTATGCTGTTTATATTTATTTCTAAATGTAGTTGTTGTTTTTGTTGTTGTTATGGTAAGAGAAGTCTTGGGACTGATGCTGTGATTAACACTGACAGTGTGGCTGAAGTTGGTGAGGTGTGGTTGGGTAAAGTAAGGAGATAATTTCGGGACACTAAAGCCCCGAAATCATCTCAAGATAACCTCAAGATAAGATTAAGCAATCAATCCAACCGGCCTAATGGCATCTGTGGTTCACTATTTAATACAATATGTTGATTAGCATTAAATAAGGTGTAGGCCTTAAGGTGTAGGCCTTATGTACTCTTATAACATCACTTTGAATAATTTATAACATTACTTAATGATGAAGCATGAAGAGCCAGGCTTTAGGATGAGGTGAGCTAAAACAAAACTTATGATTTTGTAATGAATGGTGAGAACTGGAGACCGACCACAAGTACAGTTTCTAAATTAACCAACTGACATGTGGACAGCTGGTGTCATAATTGATGTGTTTGTCCTACACACCGCCCCCCCCCCCCCAGGAATATGGGAACCATTGAAATAAAACTTAGAGGATAGCTGACAAAGGCACTAGAAGGGGGGGGGGCGAGGGGGGAGGGGAAAAAATAAATGTAACAGGTTCTTAACATATACAAACACAGGTGGGGGGGGGTAAGATAAACAAAATATTAGAGGTAAGGAACATAAGTGAACACTGTAACAACGCAGATATACAACTAACAACATCAAACTACTCATTAGTGTGTATAGTCTAGACCTCATTAGTATAAACTCATAAGAAAACTTGAGCGGTTCAGAGGTTAGGAACGAGTAAGACTGAATGAGGTAAGACTGAAAGAACTAGAGAGGAACGTTGCCAGAGAACAGAAGAGAGGAAACATGACAGTGGTAAAAAAATGTTCAAAATTAACATCAATAGAACAAGAGGGTAAAGATGGAAGCTTGAGGATCAGACGAATCATAGAGATGTTGGAAAGTTTTCTTTCAGCATAATAGTAGGAAAATGGAATAAATTCAATGAACAAGTTGTAGAAGCGGACTCAATTCATACTGTCATAAGTAGATATGATAGAGAAATAACACAGGAGACATATTGTATTAACCATGTGGCTAGAAAGATGGGGGACCCAAGAGCTAAAGCTCGACCCAGCAAGTATAAATGAGTATACAGGGTCAATTAAAACACAGTAATATCGCTTCTGGCCTCTGTGTTTCCTAGCCTGGGCGGCTGTGTGGCACTGCTGCTGGTGTTGGCGGCAGGCAGCGGCACTACAGGTGAGGGTGAAGACTCCAGGCCGTGCGAGGCACTGCAGGAGGAGGTGTGCCAGGGCCTGGGCTACCATGCCACACTCTTCCCAAACCTCCTCAACCACAAGTCTCAAGATCTGGCCTCCGAGGAGCTCCTCTCCTTCCTACCACTCATTGAGGTGAGGAGGGACTTGTGTGTGTGTGTGTGTGTGTGTGTGTGTGTGTGTGTGTGTGTGTGTGTGTGTGTGTGTGTGTGTGTGTGTGTGTGTGTGTGTGTACTCACCTAGTTGTGCTTGCGGGGGGGTTGAGCTCTGGCTCTTTGGTCCCGCCTCTCAACCGTCAATCAACAGGTGTACAGATTCCTGAGCCTATTGGGCTCTATTCCTGAGCCTATTGGGCTCTATGTGGGTGTGTGTGTGTGTGTGTGTGTGTGTGTGTGTGTGTGTGTGTGTGTGTACTCACCTAATTGTACTCACCTAATTGTGCTTGCGGGGGTTGAGCTCTGGCTCTTTGGTCCCGCCTCTCAACCGTCAATCAACTGGTGTACAGATTCCTGAGCCTATTGGGCTCTATCATATCTACATTTGAAACTGTGAATGGAGTCAGCCTCCACCACATCACTTCCTAATGCATTCCATTTGCTAACTACTCTGACACTGAAAAAGTTCTTTCTAACGTCTCTGTGGCTCATTTGGGTACTCAGCTTCCACCTGTGTCCCCTTGTTCGCGTCCCACCAGTGTTGAAAAGTTCATCCTTGTTTACCCGGTCGATTCCCCTGAGGATTTTGTAGGTTGTGATCATGTCCCCCCTTACTCTTCTGTCTTCCAGTGTCGTGAGGTGCATTTCCCTCCATGTGCATTTCCATGTCGTGAGGTGTGTGTGTGTGTGTGTGTGTGTGTGTGCACGCGCAAGTGAAGTCCTGAAATCTCTTTACGTTCATCACACACTTCTCTGTCATTTTCGGTAAATGCATGCACATCCTAGTGTGCTTACATATCAGTGTCTGTGAAGAGAAACATCTTGAACCCCACCATTCCAGCTGCTGGTTGTCACATAAAGTGACTACCAAATATCATGAATTCCTTTACAATTCATTTCAAAATATATACTTTGGATTTTACAATCTCTCCTCTTAGTTCATTCTATTTGCCAACTGCCTTTTATTAAACACGGTCATATTACAAATTTTATCGATTTCCCAAAGGATCTTATATGTCGTCGTCATGGCTCCACGATTCCGTCTCTTGCGGGATGAAATTATATTCTCGTAACAAACCTCATATTTCAGTCGTATAAATTCTGATGCAAACCTCTTTGAGCATCCCTGAACCTTTTGAAGTTCTGATTCATGCTGCTTATTGCGGAAATTTTATACTAGTGCTGCATACTCCAGAATGGGTCTCATGTTTGTTGTTTACAATGACAGAGAGAGAGAGAGAGAGAGAGAGAGAGAGAGAGAGAGAGAGAGAGATAGAGAGAGAGAGAGAGAGAGAGAGATTGTCTCTCCCACCTGGAGGGAGGGAGGGACAATGTGTGCGCCACGCATCACATAACTCTACAATAGTCTAGTGACACAGGAACGGTGATGGGTGTCGTGTTGTTGTGGTGATGGTGGTAGAGGGGCGGTGATAGTGAGGGGGTATGAGGGGTGGGGATAGTGAGGGTGGAATGGGGATGCAACCTGTCCTCTGGGAGGAAATCCACTCACAGGAATGGATTCAGAATGCCTACATAATTTGTGCTATTATCTATTCACAATCCATGGTTAGGTTAGGTTACTTTAGGCTTAGGTTTTGTTTCATCACGTTTGGTTACGCTAATATGGAGTGTTATTGACGATAATGTGAAACATGAAATTCGAAAACTATTTCAGTGTACCCAAGAATTCCGTTCGCAGAAAACCAAATCCTTCATAGAAAACGTTTTCAGCATATACTTTCTACATCTTAAACCAACGATTTATAATACAATACAGATATAATTTGATAATAATCTTTGTTTAGGACAAAGGTTTGTTTGCCAGTTTTACATGTTGACTATTACAGGAACTGTAATAGTCTGATGCTTTCAGACCATCACAAATATCTCGAAAACTATCCAGGTGGGTTTGAAAGGGGGTTGTTGTTTCTCATGATAATGGATTTGCTCTGAGGACCGGCTCGGAGATGGTGGTAATGAGGGTGGTGGTGGTGGTTGTGAGTGGTGGTGGTAGTGAGGGTGGTGGTGGTTGTGAGGGGTGATAGTGATGGGTGGTGGTAGTAATGGGTGATTGCAGTGGGGAGGGTGGTTGTGAGGGGTGGTAGTGATGGATGGTGGTAGTGAGGGATGGTGGTAGTGGGGAGGGTGGTTGTGAGGGGTGATAGTGATGGATGGTGGTAGTGAGGGATGGTGGCAGTGGGGAGGGTGGTTGTGAGGGGTGATAGTGATGGATGGTGGTAGTGAGGGATGGTGGTAGTGGGGAGGGTGGTTTGTGAGGGGTGGTGGTGTGATGGATGGTGGTAGTGAGGGATGGTGGTAGTGGGGAGGGTGGTTGTGAGGGGTGATAGTGATGGATGGTGGTAGTGAGGGATGGTGGTAGTGGGGAGGGTGGTGGTGTGAGGGATGGTGGTAGTGATGGATGGTGGTAGTGAGGGATGGTGGTAGTGGGGAGGGTGGTTGTGAGGGGGTGATAGTGAGGGATGGTGGTAGTGGGGAGGGTGGTTGTGAGGGGTGGTAGTGATGGATGGTGGTAGTGAGGGATGGTGGTAGTGGGGAGGGTGGTTGTGAGGGGTGGTAGTGATGGATGGTGGTAATGAGGGATGGTGGTAGTGGGGAGAGTGGTTGTGAGGGGTGGTAGTGATGGATGGTGGTAGTGATGGATGGTGGTAGTGAGGGATGGTGGTAGTGGGGAGGGTGGTTGTGAGGGGTGATAGTGAGGGATGGTGGTAGTGGGGAGGGTGGTTGTGAGGGGTGGTAGTGATGGATGGTGGTAGTGAGGGATGGTGGTAGTGGGGAGGGTGGTTGTGAGGGGTGATAGTGAGGGATGGTGGTAGTGAGGGATGGTGGTAGTGGGGAGGGTGGTTGTGAGGGGTGATAGTGAGGGATGGTGGTAGTGAGGGATGGTGGTAGTGGGGAGGGTGGTTGTGAGGGGTGATAGTGAGGAATGGTGGTAGTGAGGGATGGTGGTAGTGGGGAGGGTGGTTGTGAGGGATGGTGATAGTGAGGGATGGTGGTAGTGAGGGATGGGGTGGTTGTGAGGGGTGGTAGTGATGGATGGTGGTAGTGAGGGATGGTGGTAGTGGGGAGGGTGGTTGTGAGGGGGTGATAGTGAGGGATGGTGGTAGTGAGGGATGGTGGTAGTGGGGATGGTGGTTGTGAGGGGTGATAGTGAGGGATGGTGGTAGTGAGGGATGGTGGTAGTGGGGAGGGTGGTTGTGAGGGGTGGTAGTGAGGGATGGTGGTAGTGAGGGATGGTGGTAGTGGGGAGGGTGGTGGTTGTGAGGGGTGGTAGTGAGGGATGGTGGTAGTGAGGGATGGTGGTAGTGGGGAGGGTGGTTGTGAGGGGTGGTAGTGATGGATGGTGGTAGTGAGGGATGGTGGTAGTGGGGAGGGTGGTTGTGAGGGATGGTGATAGTGAGGGATGGTGGTAGTGAGGGATGGTGGTAGTGGGGATGGATGGTTGTGAGGGGTGGTAGTGATGGATGGTGGTAGTGAGGGATGGTGGTAGTGGGGAGGGTGGTTGTGAGGGGGTGATAGTGAGGGATGGTGGTAGTGAGGGATGGTGGTAGTGGGGAGGGTGGTTGTGAGGGGTGATAGTGATGGATGGTGGTAGTGAGGGATGGTGGTAGTGGGGAGGGTGGTTGTGAGGGGTGATAGTGATGGATGGTGGTAGTGAGGGATGGTGGTAGTGGGGAGGGTGGTTGTGAGGGGTGGTAGTGATGGATGGTGGTAGTGAGGGATGGTGGTAGTGGGGAGGGTGGTTGTGAGGGGTGATAGTGAGGGATGGTGGTAGTGAGGGATGGTGGTAGTGGGGAGGGTGGTTGTGAGGGGTGGTACTTCCCTGGCTATCAGTAACTACAAGGAGTGAGGTCTATAGCTCTCTGTACCTCGCCTGCTACCCTCGTTGACCCTGGCCTATTATGACGCTCAAATTCATTATCGAATCTGGCAATAAAGGTGTGGAAGGAGGTCACGGTCTCCACAGTGTCTTCCCTCGGTGCATTCCACTTGCTGACCTCTTGCATTCCACCTGTTGAGAAATAATCCGGACGGCGTACGAGTATTTCCTTACATTCCTTCCACACATCTGAGTGTCCAGCTTTCCGTTATGTCCTCTCATTCTCCTCTCTCTCTCTATTTACGGACGTTATCCTTGGCCAACCTTCTCTTTTCCCCTCAGTATCTTGTATGTTGTAATCATATACCCACTGATTTTTCTATCTTTAGAGTTGTGGGATTTAATTCCATTATTCCTCATCGTTTTGGGACCAATCATTGCAAACCTCTGTACTTTTTAATTTTGGTTTTAAGATTCACTAGGTGCGGACTCCATGCCGGTGCTGTATCTTCCAGTACTGGTCTATCAAATGGGTAAAGGATAGATTAACATCACCTGGATAGTTTACCTTAAAAAGGATCCTAATTTAAGTTTCTAAACGATGTTCAAATGTTTGTGAGTGTCATATATGCTGCCACTGTTACCACTGTTTGTGTGTGCTCTGGAGGTGGTGTTATTATTATATCCAATCCTTAATAAGTTTCTTTCACCGAGTCCTGTAGTTGCCTTCCCTCTTATGGTGTAGATACCGTTCTCCCTTTCCCATCTTCATTACCTTACACTTACTGATTTCATTCAAACAACCACGTGTTTGCTCATTAATTGTGCTTGTCAGTTCCTCCTGTAACTTTCTACATTCCTCATTGTTTACATCATCTGCAAACATTTACATGAATGAGCTCACTACCTCAGGTAAGGTAGTGAGCTCGTATTGTGAACGACCTCAGGTAGATCGTTCACATAAATTTGGAACAGCAGTAGTTCCGGGCTCGAACCTTCATGGTGACTTTTTTCAATCATTCAGATCCAATCACTTGGCCTGGACGGTTGAGCGACGATTTCGCTTCATGCAGGTCGGCGTTCAATCCCCGAGCGTCCAAGTGGTTGGGCACCATTCCTTTCCCCCGTCCCATCCCAAATCCTCATCCTGATCCCTTGCCAGTGCTATATAGTCGTGATGGCTTGGCGCTTTCATCCCTGATAGTTCCCTTCCCTTCAGGTACTCCCTTATCCAGTTTATTGTTCTCCAGGTGTCCCAGCCTTCTTGTCCATCCTATACCTGTGCCTTTCAAGAGGAACAACATCACATGCTTTCTGACATCTAGTAAAAGACAGTCTACCCAGCCTTCTTTCTCCTAGTTTATTTTAGAGACCTGGCCGGTCGGCCGAGCGGACAGCACGCTGGACTTGTGATCCTGTGGTCCCGGGATCGATCCCAGGCGCCGGCGAGAAACAATGGGCAGAGTTTCTTTCACCCTATGCTCCTGTTACCTAGCAGTAAAATAGGTACCTGGGTATTAGTCAGCTGTCACGGGCTGCTTCCTGGGGGTGGAGGCCTGGTCGAGGACCGAGCCGCGGGGACACTAAATCCCCGAAATCATCTCAAGATCTCAAGATTGTCGTATGAGTCAATACAGTTTGAGGTATGACTTTTCCTTTCAAACTTCCTACTGTCATTTTTGTTACAAATTTGGTCATCTGGTGATCCATCATCCTCATTCCAATTACTTTTTTTCCAGCACCTTACACATAATAATTTTCAGTGTGACTGGTTTGTTAGTGTTATTTAGTGGTTTGTTATCTAGATGAACAGGAGAACCAGGGGGAAAGAAACTTTGAGCATTTCTGTCTCGGCCGGAAATCGAGCCTGGGCTCCTTAGGATTACGAACCCTGAGCGCTGCCCACTCAGCCGCGAGGCCCCACAGCGTGTGGTGGTGCATGGCATTATGAGGTGTGGTGCTGCGTATTGTGTAGTGTTATATATGATGCTATATGGTGTGCTGTGCACTGTGCAACAATAGATGGTGTATGGTAGCGAGTAGTGCTCATGCGGGTGATATGTAACACCAGGGGCCAGATTCACGAAGCAGTTACGCAAGTACTTACGAACCTGTACATCTTTCCTCAATATTTGACGGCTTTGGTTACATTTATTAAACAGTTTATAAGCATGAAAACTTCCCAATCATCTGTTGTTATTGTTATAAACAGCCTCCTGGTGCTTCGGAGCTCATTAACTGCTGAATAACTGTAAACAAACCCGCCAAAAATTGAGAAAATATGTACAGGTTCGTAGGTGCTTTCGTAACTGCTTCGTGAATCTTGCCCCTGGTTTGTGAGGGGTACTGAAACATCAACCAAAACCAATATAGACTCTTTATAATTCTCACATGCTAATGTGTATTATGTTGCGTCAGGCGGAGTGCTCCGAGGTGCTCCGAGAGTTCCTGTGTACTCTCTACATGCCCGTGTGCACCAACTACGGCTTCCACCTGCCTCCCTGCCGCTCCCTCTGTAAACAGGTGGGTCCTGTCGGTCTTGTACACGGGTAGATTCTACACACACACACACACACACACACACACACACACACACACACACACACACACACACACACACACACACACACACACACACACACACACACCCACACACACACACACACACACACGCAGCAGTTAACAGATGGAATGCACTAGGCAGTGATGTGGTGGAGGCTGACTCCATACACAGTTTCAAATGTAGATATGATCAGAGCCCAGTAGGCTCAGGAATCTGTACACCAGTTGATTGACAGTTGAGAGGCGGGACCAAAGAGTCAGAGCTCAACCCCCGCAAGCACAACTAGGTGAGTACTGCGAGTAACTGTGAGGGGGTGGGGGGGAGACATCAGAGTGGCGAGATGTCACCAGCGGAGTCCCACGGGGACTCCGGAATCCTTGGACGCATCCTGTTTCTAATATATAAGTAAACGGTCTTTCAGAGGGTGTAGATTCATTCCAATCAATGTTTGCTGATGATGCAAAAATTATGAGAAGAACCAAGACAGATGAAGATAGACAGAGAATAAAGGACGACCTGGACAAACAGGAGGAATGGTCAAGAAAATGGCTACCAAAGTTCAACTCAGGAAAGTGTAAGGTAATGAAATTAGGCGAAGGGAGCAGAAGGCTGAACACAAGGTACCATCTGAGAGGTGAAATCCTGCAAGAGTCAAATAAAGAGAAAGGTTTGGGGGGTTGATATCACACCGAACCTGTCTCCAGAGGCCCACATCAAAAGGATATCATCAGCGGCATATGCTGGATTGGCCAACATAAGAACTGCCTTAAGAAACTTGTGTAAGAAATCGTTCAGGACCTTGTATACCACCTATGTCAGACCAATTCTTTCTATATGCAGCTCGAGCCTGGAGTCCATACCTTGTTAAGCACAAGAAAAAGTTAGAGAACATTCAGAGGTATGCCACCGGACTCGTCCCGGAACTGAGAGATATGAGCTATGAGGAAAGGGTAAGGGAGCTGAACCTCAAGTCCCTGGATAACAGAAGAGTAAGGGGAGGCATGATAACCACCTACAAAATTCTCAGCAAATGACAGGGTAGATAAAGACAAACTCTTCAGCACGGGTGGAACACGAACAAGGGGGACACAGGTGGAAACTTAGTACCAGAGTAGTTAACAGGTGGAATGCACTAGGAAGTGATGTGGTGGAGGCTAACTCCATACACAGTTTCAAACGGACCAAAGAGCCAAAGCTCAACCCCCGCAAACACCAATTAGGTGAGTACACACACACTCAGCAAGAGATTCCAGGAGGTCTTCACAATAGAGCAAGGAGAAGCCTCTGTACTAAAAGAGGAGGCGGCAAACCAAGCAATCTTGGAGGAATTTGACCTCACCAGTGATGAAGTCAAAAGGAATCTGTTGGAGCTGAACGTGACAAAGACTGTTGGGCCTGACAGAATCTCACCGTGGATACTAAAAGAAGGTGCAGAAGCACTACCTGTGCCACTCTCTTTGGTGTATAACAGGTCACTGGAAACAGGAGGCCTACTGGAAAACTGGAAAGAGAAAGGTTGGGCAGATTTAATTTTCTTAAACACACACATGCGCACACACACACACACACACGCACGCACGCACACACGCACACACACACACACACACACACACACACACACACACACACACACACACACACATACACACACACACAGGGCTAGGAGCCTAGCTCACCTTACAAGAGCATGTAGGTGAGTATTCACACACTCGTACCTATGTTGTATTGCTTCTTTAAAGAAATTCCTATTATATTGCTATTAATATATTGTAATAAAAATATATTACAATTCTCACACATTTGTCAGTCTCTCTCTCTCTCTCTCCCCCCTCTCTCTCTCCCCCCCCCTCTCTCTCCCCCCTCTCTCTCTCTCTCCCCCCCTCTCTCTCTCTCTCTCTCTCTCTCTCTCTCTCTCTCTCTCTCTCTCTCTCTCTCTCTCTCTCTCTCTCTCTCTCTCTCTCTCCCCCCGATTTTGTTTTGTGTTTATTACTTATTTTTTTTAATCTCAACTTTCGTGCTTCTATCCATGTCTCTCTTGACGGGTTCACTTGACGGGTTTACCTGACGGGTTCACCTGACGGGTTTACTTGACGGGTTCACCTGACGGGTTTACTTGACGGGTTCACCTGACGGGTTCACCTGACGGGTTTACTTGACGGGTTCACCTGACGGGTTTACTTGACGGGTTTACTTGACGGGTTCACCTGACGGGTTTACTTGACGGGTTCACTTGATGGGTTCACCTGACGGGTTTACCTGACGGGTTCACCTGACGGGTTTACTTGACGGGTTCACCTGACGGGTTCACCTGACGGGTTTACTTGACGGGTTCACTTGATGGGTTTACTTGACGGGTTTACCTGACGGGTTCACCTGACGGGTTCACCTGACGGGTTCACCTGACGGGTTCACCTGACGGGTTTACTTGACGGGTTCACCTGACGGGTTCACCTGACGGGTTCACCTGACGGGTTCACCTGACGGGTTCACCTGACGGGTTCACCTGACGGGTTCACCTGACGGGTTCACCTGAAGGGTTCACATGAAGGGTTCACCTGACGGGTTCACCTAGTAGTAGGGGGGGGGAAGAGCCACAGGGGAATTTTTTTTTCAGAAAATTCGCGTGTGGATCTTCGGAGTTTTCAGGTGAATTTGGCTAGTCACAGATTTGGGATTAAGGAATTCTTATGAGGAGCATAATTTCTGAGATTTTAGAGGTTTGTTAAGCGTTCTTATGAAGAAAATAAGTAGGAAAATCTTATAGAAAATTTTTAGAAAATATCGTGTTTTATAACAATTTACGGCTGTTTCACCCGTAAAGACCAAAATTCTTCAGAGTCTAGTTGTTGACCTAAATTAACAACATATTAAATTGGGGAATAAGAACATATGATAGAATCTACTAAATACACTAAGATTACAAGAGGTTAGGGTTAAGGGGTTGGGGAATAAGAACAAATGATAACAAACATAATAAATACAACTTATGAGCAACTTGATGAACTTTAACAAATAACCCTTGATCTGCAAAAATGACCATTTGAGAAATTAGCCCTTGAAACGAGTAAATTCCCATATATAACAAAAATCCTTTGAAATGGTTAAACACCCAATCTTAAACAAATAACACTTGAAATGTAAAAATGTCCATTTGAGAAATTAACCCTTGAAATGAGTAAATGAATGAGACAATGATTGACGAAACACAAAAGACAAGCAGGAATAATTATGTAAGTTAGATCATGTCTGGTTGGACTAGATAAGTTACGATACATCAGTTTGGGAATGTAAGATTAAGTTAGGTAAAGCAAGTTAGGTTTGGTTATTATAGGTAAGATAAGTTACGTAAGTTAGGTTAAGCAGGTAAAGTTAGGTAAGGTAGGTTAAGCAGGATAAGTTAGGTTAAGTTATGTAAGTTAGGTAAGGTAAGGTAAGTTAGGTTAAGCAGGTTAAGTTAGGTAAGTTAGGTAAGATAGGTAAGGTAAAGTAAGTTAGGTAAGATAGGTTAGGTTAAGTTAGGTAAGGTAGGTAAGTTAGGTTAAGCAGGATAAGTTAGGTTAAGTTATGTAAGTTAGGTAAGATAGGTAAGGTAAGGTAAGTTAGGTTAAGCAGGTTAGGTTAGGTTAAGTTATGTAAGTTAGGTTAAGCAGGTTAAGTTAGGTAAGGTAAGGTAAGTTAGGTTAAGCAGGTTAAGTTAGGTAGGGTAGGTAAGTTAGGTTAGGTTAAGTTAGGTAAGGTAGGTAAGTTAGGTTAAGCAGGATAAGTTAGGTTAAGTCAGGTAAGTTAGGTAAGATAGGTAAAGTTAGGTTATGCAGGTTAAGTTAGGTAAGATAGGTAAGGTAAGGTAAGTTAAGTTAGGATAGGTAAAGTTAGGTTAAGTTAGGTAATGGAGGTAAGTTAGGTTAAGCAGGATAAGTTAGGTGAAGTTAGGTAAGGTAAGTTAGGTTAATAGGTAAAGTTAGGTTAAGAAGGTTAAGTTAGGTAATGTAGGTAAGTTAGGTAAAGCAGGATAAGTTAGGTTAAGTTAGGTAAGTTAGGTAAGATAGGTAAGGTAAGGTAAGTTAGGATAGGTAAAGTTAGGTTAAGCAGGTTAAGTTAGGTAATGGAGGTAAGTTAGGTTAAGCAGGATAAGTTAGGTGAAGTTAGGTAAGTTAGGTAAGGTAAGGTAAGTTAGGTTAATAGGTAAAGTTAGGTTAAGAAGGTTAAGTTAGGTAATGTAGGTAAGTTAGGTAAAGCAGGATAAGTTAGGTTAAGTTAGGTAAGTTAGGTAAGATAGGTAAGGTAAGGTAAGTTAAGTTAGGATAGGTAAAGTTAGGTTAAGCAGGTTAAGTTAGGTAATGTAGGTAAGGTAGGTTAAGCAGGATATGTTAGGTTAGGTTAGGCAAGTTAGGTAAGATAGGTAAGGTAAGGTAAGTTATGTTAGGATAGGTAAAGTTAGGTTAAGTTAGGTAAGTTTAGGTTAGGTTAGGTTATGTTAAGCAGGTTAAGTTAGGTAATGTAGGTAAGTTAGGTTATGCAGGATAAGTTAGGTTAGGTTAGGTAAGTTAGGTAAGATAGGTAAGGTAAGGTAAGTTAAGTGAGGATAGGTAAAGTTAGGTTAAGCAGGTTAAGTTAGGTAATGTAGGTAAGTTAGGTTAAGCAGGATAAGTTAGGTTAGGTTAGGTAAGTTAGGTAATATAGGTAAGGTAAGGTAAGTTATGTTAGGATAGGTAAAGTTAGGTTATGCAGGTTAAGTTAGGTAAGATAGGTAAAGGTAAGGTAAGTTAAGTTAGGATAGGTAAAGTTAGGTTTAGGAACGTTACGTTAACTAAGTAACATTGGGTGGAGAGGATAGGTTACGTAGGTTTGAACAGTGTAGTTCAGAGAACAGTTTTAGGGTAAAGTGACTAAGAAAATATATTTTAACAGAAGTGCAGGTTTGGTATGAAAAGCTGAACTAGTTACATTTTGGAGAGAAATTTTATGACTGAAGATGTCTTAAAGAATAACATGATGGAAGAAGGAGAGTTTCTTTGATGAACGAAGGTGTCTTAGAGAACAACTTTTTGAAGAACGAAGGTGAATTAGAGATAACTTTGATGACTCTGAGAATAACTTTGATCAACGAAGATGGATTGGAAAGTTTCTCTAATGAACGAAGGTGACTTAGAGATTAACTTTTATGATTTAGAGAACATCTTTGATGTCTTAGAGAACAACATTGATGTCTTAGAGAACAACTTTGATGACTCTGAGAATAACTTTTTTGTCTTACATAATAACTTTAGAGGTCTCTAAAAATAACTTTGATGAAAGATGATGTCTTAGATTAACTTTTGATGTCTCTTGGAATAACTTTGATGACTTTGAGAACAAGTTTGATGAACAAAGATGTTTTGGAAAGTTTCTCTGACGAACGAAGGTGACTCTGAGAATACCTTTGATGACTCTAAGATTATCTTTGATGACTTTGAGAACAAGTTTGATGACTGAGATTAATTTTAACGTCTCTTGGAATACCTTTGGTGACTCTGAGAAAATCGTTGATGACTTTGAGAATGACTTCTGAGAACCTGAGTAGTATTTTGAATGCGTCTTTGATGTAATGAAGAGTAACTTTGATGTCTTGAAGATATCTTGCAGATCAACTTTGATGACCGAGATTAACTTTTGTTGTTTTAGAGAATAACTTTTGATTGCTCTGAGAATAACTTTAGATATCTCTGAGAATAAGTTTGATGAACGAAGATATCTTACAGAGCAACTTTGATGTTTCGAAGAATAACTTTGATATCTCGAAGAGTGCGTTTGGTGTGTTTGAGAGTGTCTTTGATGCCTCGAGAGGTGTCTTTGAAGTCTTAAAGGATGTCTTTGATGTCTCAAAGGATGTCTTTGAGTGCAACTTTGGTGTCTTTGAGTAAGTCCTTGAAGTATTGAAGAGTGTCTTTGATTTCTCGAAGAGTAACTTTGGTGACACAGAGAGTGCCTTTGTTGTCTCGAAGAGCACCTTTGACTATTTTTCTTACTTAACGACATATAATTTTTTACCAAAGTGCTGAAAAAAAGTTACATTTGACTATTTTAGCTGAGGAAAGACATGAAAAATATAATGACAGTGACTATTTAGTGCTCCACAAAGTATAAATGTCAGTTAAGAACAGCGATGATAGATATCTTTGGCTATTTTTTCTTACTGGACGACTTATAATTTTAGTTACGAAAGCGTTGAAAGAAGTTTCCTCGACTATTTTTTTTAGCGAAGTGAAAGGTTATTTTAGTTAAGAACTGTGTTGAACGAGGCTAACTCTGACTATTTTTTTAGTTTAGGATAATAAGCTTAGTTGAGAAATGACGAAAGTGATTATGTTTTAGTTGATTGGATAATAAGTTTAGTTGAGAAATGACGAAAGTGACTATGTTTTAGTTGATTGGATAATAAGTTTAGTTGCGAAATGACGAAAGTGACTATGTTTTAGTTGATTGGATAATAAGTTTAGTTGCGAAATGACGAAAGTGACTATGTTTTAGTTGATTGGCGAAAGATTTTTAGTTAAGGAACGTTAAATAACATGTAAGGGAATGAACACAGTGAACATACGGTGAACACAGAAAACATGTAAGAAAAAGTTGATGAATAGAGTGAACATGCAGGGAATATGAACTTACAGAGAATTTTGAAGACATGATAAGGAACATAGGGAATACAAAGAACGAACACTGAACATGTGAATAACAAGCTAAGAACATTGAGAACATGAATATTGAGTATAAAAGTTGTACAGAGAACATATGATGTACATGAAAACATGACAAAGAACATAGGGAACATACGGGGAAAATGGTAGAAAACAGAAAAATTGAGAAAAACAGGTGAAAAAATATGAACTGAGCATGCTGCGAATACTTGCTGAACATGGAGTGAACACAGATAACATGGAAAAAATGTGAAGAACACAGCTGAATATAGAGAAAATATACAAATACAGTATGATTATTGAAGGTTTGGATACGTTGGGGATGAGAAGGTAGGGGAGGAAAAGGGTAAGGTGATTACTCTGATAAAGAGTTAGGCTGGAAAGGGACTTGATCGGATATATTTATGTTCAATGATCTAAGACAGAGGAAATGGAGCTTGGCTAATGCCCTGATTAATTTTACTAGGTTAGAAATAAGGTGATTTTAAATCTCAGGTGATTTAGTTGGAAAATAAAGAACTTATATAAAATGAGATAAGCGGGGAACAAGAGTTGAAACTCGGTAACTGAACTGGCTTTCATTTACTATGTCTGAAAATGTAGTTGGGTGTTTAAATCTCATGGGGATTTGGACTGATAGTAATGAATTTACAGGAGCGAACTTGGACAGAGGACAAGTTCTCTGTCCAAGTTCTCTCTGTCTTGGACAGAGAGAACTGTCTCTGACTAATTTTGTTTACAAAGTGGACTCTGAAGAATTTGGGCACAAACTGGTCTCTGACGAATTTTTAAAATATTACAGGACTCTGACGAATTTTGCTAGAAAACTGGACTCTGATGAATTTCTGTTGATAATTGGACTCTGATTATTTTTGGGTATAAAATGGACTCTGTCAAATTTTCGGTATAAAACTTGACTCTAATGAAAATTGATCTGAAAATGGACTGACGAAATTTGCTCACAAAGCGGACTCTAAATAATTTAGGTCAACAACTAGACTCTGAAGAATTTTGGTCTTTACGGGTGATACAGCCGTAAATTGTTATAATACACGATATTTTCTAAAAATTTTCTATAAGATTTTCCTACTTATTTTCCTCATAAGAACGCTTAACAAACCTCTGAAGTCTCGGAAATTACTCCCTCATAAGAATTCCTTAATTCCAAATCTGTGACTAGCCAAATTCGCCTGAAAACCCTGGCAGTCTATTGACCCTTTTTTCCAATTGTTCGGTTATTGAAAACAGGCAAAGGTTGTCCGTAGAGTTTATCTGGAAATGCTGTGACATATCGACCCTTTCTTTCCTAAAATTTTTATATAAGATTTTCCTACTTATTTTCTTCATAAGAACGCTTAACAAACCTCTAAAATCTCAGAAATTATGCTCCTCATAAGAATTCCTTAATCCCAAATCTGTGACTAGCCAAATTCACCTGAAACCCCCGAAGATCCACACGCGAATTTTCTGAAAAAAAATTCCCCTGTGGCTCTTCCCCCCCCCTACTACTTCACCTGACGGGTTCACATGACGGATTCACCTGACGGATTCAATTGACGGGTTCACTTGACGGGTTCACTTGACGGGTTCACCTGACGGGTTCACTTGACGGGTTCACCTGACGGGTTCACCTGACGGGTTCACCTGACGGGTTCACTTGACGGGTTCACTTGACGGGTTCACTTGACGGGTTCACCTGACGGGTTCACTTGACGGGTTCACCTGACGGGTTCACATGACGGATTCACTTGACGGGTTCACCTGACGGGTTCACCTGACGGGTTCACCTGACGGGTTCACCTGACGGGTTCACCTGACGGGTTCACCTGACGGGTTCACATGACGGATTCACTTGACGGGTTCACCTGACGGGTTCACCTGACGGGTTCACTTGACGGGTTCACCTGACGGGTTCACACCTGACAGGTTCACCTGACGGGTTCACTTGACGGGTTCACCTGACGGGTTCACCTGACGGGTTCACACCTGACAAGTTCACCTGACGGGTTCACCTGACGGGTTCACCTGACGGGTTCACCTGACGGGTTCACACCTGACAAGTTCACCTGACGGGTTCACACCTGACAAGTTCACCTGACGGGTTCACCTGACGGGTTCACCTGACGGGTTCACCTGACGGGTTCACACCTGACGGGTTCACCTGACGGGTTCACACCTGACAAGTTCACCTGACGGGTTCACCTGACGGGTTCACCTGACGGGTTCACATGACGGATTCACTTGACGGGTTCACCTGACGGGTTCACCTGACGGGTTCACCTGACGGGTTCACTTGACGGGTTCACCTGACGGGTTCACACCTGACAGGTTCACCTGACGGGTTCACTTGACGGGTTCACCTGACGGGTTCACCTGACGGGTTCACCTGACGGGTTCACACCTGACAAGTTCACCTGACGGGTTCACCTGACGGGTTCACCTGACGGGTTCACCTGACGGGTTCACCTGACGGGTTCACACCTGACAAGTTCACCTGACGGGTTCACACCTGACAAGTTCACCTGACGGGTTCACCTGACGGGTTCACCTGACGGGTTCACCTGACGGGTTCACCTGACGGGTTCACACCTGACGGGTTCACCTGACGGGTTCACACCTGACAAGTTCACCTGACGGGTTCACCTGACGGGTTCACCTGACGGGTTCACTTGACGGGTTCACCTGACGGGTTCACACCTGACAGGTTCACCTGACGGGTTCACCTGACGGGTTCACACCTGACGGGTTCACCTGACGGGTTCACCTGACGGGTTCACCTGATGGGTTCACTTGACGGGTTCACCTGACGGGTTCACCTGACGGGTTCACATGACGGGTTCACTTGACGGGTTCACCTGACGGGTTCACCTGACGGGTTCACCTGACGGGTTCACATGACGGGTTCACTTGACGGGTTCAGCTGACGGATTCACCTGACGGATTCACCTGACGGGTTCACCTGACGGGTTCACTTGACGGGTTCAGCTGACGGATTCACCTGACGGATTCACCTGACGGATTCACCTGACGGGTGTTGGTGTGGTTGCAGGCGCGGGAGGGATGCGAACAGGTGTTGGAGGAGACGGAACTCCGCTGGCCCAACAAGTTCGACTGTACACGTTTCCCAGAGCACCACGAACTGATGTGCGTCCTCACTCTCAACCATAGTAGGTCACCTGTGTGTGTGTGTGTGTGTGTGTGTGTGTGTGTGTGTGTGTGTGTGTGTGTGTGTGTGTGTTTGTGTGTGTGTGTGTGTGTTGTGTGTGTGTGTGTGTGTGTGTGTGTGTGTGTGTGTGTGTGTGTGTGTGTGTGTGTGTGTGTGTGTGTGTGTGTGTGTGTGTGTGTGTGTGTGTGTGTGTGTGTGTGTGTGTGTGTGTGTGTGTGTGTGTGTGTGTGTGTGTGTGTGTGTGTGTGTGTGTGGTGTGTGTGTGTGTGTGTGTGTGTGTGTGTGTGTGTGTGTGTGTGTGTGTGTGTGTGTGTGTGTGTGTGTGTGTGTGTGTGTGTGTGTGTGTGTGTGTGTGTGTGTGTGTGTGTGTGTGTGTGTGTGTGTGTGTGTGTGTGTGTGTGTGTGTGTGTGTGTGTGTGTATACTCACCTAGTTGTACTCACCTAGTTGTGTCTGCAGGATCGAGCATTGACTCTTGGATCCCGCCTTTCGAGCATCGGTTGTTTACAGCAATGACTCCTGTCCCATTTCCCTATCATACCTGGTTTTAAAATTATGAAGAGTATTTGCTTCCACAACCTGTTCCTGAAGTGCATTCCATTTCCCCACTACTCTCACGCTAAAAGAAAACTTCCTAACATCTGTGACTCATCTGAGTTTCAAGCTTCCATCCATGTCCTCTCGTTCTGTTACTATTCCGTGTGAACATTTCGTCTATGTCCACTCTGTCAATTCCTCTGAGTATCTTATACGTTCCTATCATGTCCCCCCTCTCCCTTCTTTTTTCTAGTGTCGTAAGGCACAGTTCCCTCAGGCGCTCTTCATACCCCATCCCTCGTAGCTCTGGGACGAGTCTCGTTGCAAACCTCTGAACCTTTTTCCAGTTTCATTATATGCTTCTTCAGATGGGGACTCCATGATGAGGCGGCATACTCTAAGACTGGCCTTACGTAGGCAGTGTAAAGCGCCCTAAATGCCTCCTTACTTAGGTTTCTGAATGATGTTCTAACTTTTGCCAGTGTAGAGTACGCTGCTGTCGTTATCCTATTAATATGTGCCTCAGGAGATAGATTAGGTGTTACGTCCACCCCCAGGTCTCTTTCACGCGTCGTTACAGGTAGGCTGTTCCCCTTCATTGTGTACTGTCCCTTTGGTCTCCTATCTCCTAGTCCCATTTCCATAACTTTACATTTGCTCGTGTTGAATTCTAGTAGCCATTTCTCTGACCATCTCTGCAATCTGTTCAGGTCCTCTTGGAGGATCCTGCAATCCTCATCTGTCACAACTCTTCTCATCAACTTTGCATCATCCGCAAACATCGACATGTAGGACACTACGCCTGTAAACATGTCGTTAACATATACAAGAAATAGAATTGGTCCCAGCACCGATCCTTGTGGTACTCCACTTGTTACTGTTCGCCAGTCCGACTTCTCGCCCCTTACCGTAACTCTTTGGCTCCTTCCTGTTAGGTAGTTCCTTATCCATTCTAGGACCTTTCCCCCCACCCCCGCCTGCCTCTCGAGCTTGAACAGCAGTCTCATGTGCGGTACTGTATCAAAGGCTTTTTGGCAGTCCAGAAATATGCAGTCTGCCCAACCATCTCTGTCCTGTCTTATCCTCGTTATTTTATCATAGAATTCCAGAAGGTTTGTTAGGCACGATTTCCCTGTCCAGAACCCATGTTGATGTTTGTTCACAAACCTAATGTTCTCCAGGTGTGCAACCAGTCGTAGCCTAATTATTCTTTCCAGTATTTTACAGGGGATGCTTGTCAGTGATACAGGTCTGTAGTTAAGTGCCTCCTCCCTATCTCCTTTCTTGAAGATCGGCACGACATTTGCCTTCTTCCAGCAACTGGGCAATTCTCCTGACATAAGTGACTCATTAAAGATCATTGCCAGAGGCACGCTGAGGGCCTGTGCTGCTTCTTTTAGTATCCACGGTGATACTTTGTCTGGTCCAACTGCTTTAGTTGCATCTAGAGTTGTCAACTGTTTCATTACCTCCTCTGCTGTCACCTCTATATCTGATAGTCTTTCATCTAGGGTAACCCCTTCCAACAATGGGAGCTGCTCAGGCTCGGTAGTGAACACTCCATGGAAACTGGCATTCAGTGCCTCGCAGATTTCCTTGTCACTTTCAGTTTATGTCTTCCTTAGTCTTCCTCTGTCTTCCTTAGTCTTGTCACTTGGTCGTTCACCGACATTTTTCTTCTTATATGACTGTGTAGTAACTTAGGTTGTTTTTTCGCTTTGATTGCAATATCGTTCTCATAGTCCCTTTCCGATGTTCGTCTTATGTTAATGTAATCGTTCCTAGCTCTGTTGTATCTGCTTCTGTTGTCCTCTGTTCTTTGCCTTCTGTACTTCCTCCACTCCCGCCTGCTGGCCATTTTTGCTTCCTGACACTGTCTATTAAACCATGGGTTATTATATTCCTTCTTATTTTTTCCCTTTACCGTTGGTATAAATCTCTCTTCGGCCTCCTGGCATTTCTGTATGACTAGGTCCATCATATCTTGGACTGTTTTTCCTCTAATTTCTTCCTCCCACTGCACTTCACCCAGATAGTCCCTTATCCTCATATAGTCCCCTTTCCTGTAGTCAGCTCTCCTTTCCCAGATCTCTTGTCCCATGGTCATAAGTTTGAATTCCATCATGTAGTCAAAGACTAGGACACAATGGTCACTGGCCCCTAGAGGTATTTCATGCTCTAAATTCTCGATATCTTCTACGTTCTGGGTGAAAATCAGGTCTAATAGGCTCGGTGCATCTCCTCCTCTTTCCCTTGTGTCTTCCTTCACATGTTGTGTCAGGAAATTCCTGTCTATAACATCTACTAATTTTGCTCCCCACGTTTCGTCCCCTCCATGGGGATTCCTTGATTCCCAATTTATCTCTCCATGATTTAGGTCCCCCATGATCAGCAGCTTCGCTCTCATTCTGTGGGCTAGTGTTGCTGCCTTCTGCAGTTCATCTATACATGCTTTGTTGTTGTCATCATACTCCTGCCTGGGTCTTCTACTGTTTGGTGGGGGATTGTAGATTACCAAGATCACAATCTTCCTCCCATCTACTGTCAGAGTTCCATGTATGAAGCTTGTGCACTCATTGGTAACTCGATTTCCCAGGTCTTCAAACTTCCATTTCCGCTTTATTAGGAGTGCTACTCCCCCTCCCTGTCTCTGTGTCCTCTCTTTTCGTATCACCTGGTACCCTTCAGGAAAGATTGCATCTGAGATCATGTCATTAATTTTAGTTTCCACAATTGCAACTATGTCAGGATCTGCTTCACTCACTCTTTCTTTTATTTCTTCTGCTTTATTAGATACCCCATCAGCATTGGTGAACCAAACCTTGAGATTCTTCATGGAAACTCTTGTACCAGAGTTCTCCCTTTCTCTGGGGGTCTGGGGGGATCTGGGGGATGTCTGGGGGGTGACTGGGGGCAGAGGGGATCTGGGGGATCTGGGGTGTGTGTGTGTGTGTGTGTGTGTGTGTGTGTGTGTGTGTGTGTGTGTGTGTGTGTGTGTGTGTGTGTGTGTGTGTGTGTGTTTATTTTGTGCAAGTACTGATCTTTTTGGCATATATATATATATATATATATATATATATATATATATATATATATATATATATATATATATATATATATATATATATATATATATATATATATATTAAATATGACCGAAAAAGTAAGATTAATAATTCTAACACGAATTTTCTCAATCTTTCGTACATTACGCTTCACTGTTGGAGGTAAATAAAAAATCACTTCTCCAAAATTCATTTTTATTTCTAGTCTGACGCGACACGGGCGCGTTTCGTAAAACTTATTACATTTTCAAAGACTTCACAAATACACAACTGATTAGAACTTACGTCTCTCTGATATTATATCTACATTTGAATGAGGTGGGAAGGGTGATGTGGCATTAACACAAGACAGAACAGGAGGGGATATTAATAGGGTATTAAAAGTATCAACACAAGACAGAACAGAAACAATGGGTATTGAATAGAAGTGTTTGTAGAAAGCCTATTGGTCCATATTTCTTGATGCTTCTATATTGGAGCGGAGTCTTGAGGTGGGTAGAATATAGTTGTGCAATAATTGGCTGTTGATTGCTGGTGTTGACTTCTTGATGTGTAGTGCCTCGCAAACGTCAAGCCGCCTGCTATCGCTGTATCTATCGATGATTTCTGTGTTGTTTACTAGGATTTCTCTGGCGATGGTTTGGTTATGGGAAGAGATTATATGTTCCTTAATGGAGCCCTGTTGCTTATGCATCGTTAAACGCCTAGAAAGAGATGTTGTTGTCATGCCTATATACTGGGTTTTTTGGAGCTTACAGTCCCCAAGTGGGCATTTGAAGGCATAGACGACGTTAGTCTCTTTTAAAGCGTTCTGTTTTGTGTCTGGAGAGTTTCTCATGAGTAGGCTGGCCGTTTTTCTGGTTTTATAGTAAATCGTCAGTTGTCTCCTCTGATTTTTGTCTGTAGGGATAACGTTTCTATTAACAATATCTTTCAGGACCCTTTCCTCCGTTTTATGGGCTGTGGAAAAGAAGTTCCTGTAAAATAGTCTAATAGGGGGTATAGGTGTTGTGTTAGTTGTCTCTTCAGAGGTTGCATGGCTTTTCACTTTCCTTCTTATGATGTCTTCGATGAAACCATTGGAGAAGCCGTTATTGACTAGGACCTGCCTTACCCTACAGAGTTCTTCGTCGACTTGCTTCCATTCACTTACGAGACGGAAAAGGATGGGAAGCTGCCTTTTCTAGATGTAACAGTCATGGAAAAGGGCGGAGGTTTCCACACTGCAGTCTACACTAAGGAAACAAACATAGGAATGTGCCTAAATGCCAACAGCGACTGCCCCGACAGGTACAAGAGGAGTGTTGTTAACGCATACGTCGACCGTGCTCTCAGCCACAGCTCAGAATGGAAGCAAGTCGACGAAGAACTCTGTAGGGTAAGGCAGGTCCTAGTCAATAACGGCTTCTCCAATGGTTTCATCGAAGACATCATAAGAAGGAAAGTGAAAAGCCATGCAACCTCTGAAGAGACAACTAACACAACACCTATACCCCCTATTAGACTATTTTACAGGAACTTCTTTTCCACAGCTCATAAAACGGAGGAAAGGGTCCTGAAAGATATTGTTAATAGAAACGTTATCCCTACAGACAAAAATCAGAGGATACAACTGACGATTTACTATAAAACCAGAAAAACGGCCAGCCTACTCATGAGAAACTCTCCAGACACAAAACAGAACGCTTTAAAAGAGACTAACGTCGTCTATGCCTTCAAATGCCCACTTGGGGACTGTAAGCTCCAAAAAACCCAGTATATAGGCAAGACAACAACATTTCTTTCTAGGCGTTTAACGATGCATAAGCAACAGGGCTCCATTAAGGAACATATAATCTCTTCCCATAACCAAACCATCGCCAGAGAAATCCTAGTAAACGACACAGAAATCATCGATAGATACAGCGATAGCAGGCGGCTTGACGTTTGCGAGGCACTACACATCAAGAAGTCAACACCAGCAATCAACAGCCAATTATTGCACAACTATATTCTACCCACCTCAAGACTCCGCTCCAATATAGAAGCATCAAGAAATATGGACCAATAGGCTTTCTACAAACACTTCTATTCAATACCCATTGTTTCTGTTCTGTCTTGTGTTGATACTTTTAATACCCTATTAATATCCCCTCCTGTTCTGTCTTGTGTTAATGCCACATCACCCTTCCCACCTCACTCAAATGTAGATATAATATCAGAGAGACGTAAGTTCTAATCAGTTGTGTATTTGTGAAGTCTTTGAAAATGTAATAAGTTTTACGAAACGCGCCCGTGTCGCGTCAGACTAGAAATAAAAATGAATTTTGGAGAAGTGATTTTTGATTTACCTCCAACAGTGAAGCGTAATGTACGAAAGATTGAGAAAATTCGTGTTAGAATTATTAATCTTACTTTTTCGGTCATATTTAATAATATATGTCTACAGGAAAGACTGCTACCAAAATATACTAATATATATATATATATATATATATATATATATATATATATATATATATATATATATATATATATATATATATATATATATATATATATGTCGTACCTAGTAGCCAGAACGCACTTCTCAGCCTACTATGCAAGGCCCGATTTGCCTAATAAGCCATGTTTTCATGAATTAATTGTTTTTTCGACTACCTAACCTACCTAACCTAACCTAACCTAACTTTTTCGGGTACCTAACCTAACCTAACCTATAAAGATAGGTTAGGTTAGGTAGGGTTGGTTAGGTTCGGTCATATATCTACGTTAATTTTAACTCCAATAAAAAGAAATTGACCTCATACATAAAGAAATGGGTAGCTTTATCATTTCATAAGAAAAAAATTAGAGAAAATATATTAATTCAGGAAAACTTGGCTTATTAGGCAAATCGGGCCTTGCATAGTAGGCTGAGAAGTGCGTTCTGGCTACTAGGTACGACATATATATATAAAAGAATCCCTCTTAATGGTACCTTTGTCAATAGCAGAATGATTGCAAGGAGAGGAGGAAGGAAGTAAGTTATACACAGCAGCCGTGGGAAACAGGAAACTAGGAGAGGATGGAGGATTTTTGACCTTTGAAACGCATACGAGCGAAAAGCGACGATCTTTGTAGGAGGACAAGATGCCCCTTCATCAAAATCAGGACGGTTTACTAGTCAACTGATTGAAATGAAAAGAGCTGTAGTTGTAATAGGTATTAACGTATTGAGAAATATATCTATATTCTCATTTAATTGGGAACGGACACAAGATACCAAGACAAGTAAAAACACCAAATAAAATTGGTGTTTTCCAACCATTCCTGCAATTGGTTCCAGGCAAGAAGAGTGGAAATCTAAGGACAGATTTGCAGTGACAGTGACAGGATGGGGTCGATGGAGAGGGCTGAACAATGTATAGAGAATCCGGCTAGGCTGATAAAACAAAGATGGAGAGCGACTGGTAAAGATAGTATCCACGAACGAGGCCACACAAAAATAAATTCTAGCAAAATGCAATCTGCATAATATAATGGATTCACCCTCCCACTCTCTCTCACACAGTGTGGCAATCTGCACACTTTCCCTCATTCTCCCACAAGAAGCATGACGTGCTCCACCCTCCTCCACAGGTAGCGTGACCACCTCCACCACCAGTAGTCCCGCCCTGACCCTGCCCCCAGCGGGCACCAGGACGGACCTCACACCATACCCGGTGGCCCAGCAGCTCACACAGTGCTCCTCCAACGTTGACTGTATCCTCGAGGTAAGTGTCAACATTATATCCATTTATTTTTGTTTACACAAGGGGAATGTACAGGAGTACAGACGGCTTCTACCTCCTGTTACCAGGCTGAGAGCTTTCTCTTCCCATGGCTCATGGTAAGCCTTACCCTACTGGTAAGGCTTATCCCAGGAACACAACCCACCAGTCGGTTTACAGTCAGGTCAGCAATTACTGCTGAGTGAACAAAGTCGAACTGTTAAAGATTGGTGCCCAGCCAATCATCCCAAGTCAGGGCTCGAACCCAGACAAAATGGCTCACAAGGGCCAAGACAAATGCACTACTACGCGGCAGCTGCGAACTTCCATTACTTATTTGTCTCAGTTATTATGTTTCGTTATTTATTTCTTAATAATTATTCTCTACATTTATTCGTTTCATATATACAGTTTCAGTCACAGTCCCCAACCGTCCCTGACAGTCACCAACCGTCCCTGACAGTCACCAACCTTCCCTGACAGTCACCAGCCTTCCCTGACAGTCACCAGCCTTCCCTGACAGTCACCAGCCTTCCCTGACAGTCACCAGCCTTCCCTGACAGTCACCAACCTTCCCTGACAGTCACCAGCCTTCCCTGACAGTCCCCAGCCTTCCCTGACAGTCACCAGCCTTCCCTGACAGTCACCAGCCTTCCCTGACAGTCACCAACCTTCCCTGACAGTCCCCAGCCTTCTCTGACAGTCCCCAGCCTTCCCTGACAGTCACCAGCCTTCCCTGACAGTCCCCAGCCTCCCCTGACAGTCACCAGCCTTCCCTGACAGTCACCAGCCTTCCCTGACAGTCACCAACCTTCCCTGACAGTCACCAACCATCCCTGACAGTCACCAGCCTTCCCTGACAGTCAACAGCCTTCCCTGACAGTCACCAACCATCCCTGACAGTCACCAACCATCCCTGACAGTCACCAACCATCCCTGACAGTCACCAACCTTCCCTGACAGTCACCAACCATCACTGACAGTCACCAACCATCCCTGACAGTCCCCAACCTTCCCTGACAGTCACCAACCATCCCTGACAGTCACCAACCATCCCTGACAGTCACCAACCATCCCTGACAGTCACCAACCATCCCTGACAGTCACCAATCTTCTCTGACAGTCACCAACCATCCCTGACAGTCACCAACCTTCCCTGACAGTCACCAGCCTTCCCTGACAGTCACCAGCCTTCCCTGACAGTCACCAGCCTTCCCTGACAGTCACCAACCATCCCTGACAGTCACCAACCTTCCCTGACAGTCACCAGCCTTCCCTGACAGTCACCAGCCTTCCCTGACAGTCACCAACCATCCCTGACAGTCACCAACCTTCCCTGAAAGTCACCAACCATCACTGACAGTCACCAACCATCCCTGACAGTCCCCAACCTTCCCTGACAGTCACCGACCATCCCTGACAGTCACCAACCATCCCTGACAGTCACCAACCATCCCTGACAGTCACCAACCATCTCTGACAGTCACCAACCTTCTCTGACAGTCACCAACCATCCCTGACAGTCACCAACCTTCCCTGACAGTCACCAGCCTTCCCTGACAGTCACCAGCCTTCCCTGACAGTCACCAGCCTTCCCTGACAGTCACCAACCATCCCTGACAGTCACCAACCTTCCCTGACAGTCACCAGCCTTCCCTGACAGTCACCAGCCTTCCCTGACAGTCACCAGCCTTCCCTGACAGTCACCAGCCTTCCCTGACAGTCACCAACCATCCCTGACAGTCACCAACCTTCCCTGACAGTCACCAGCCTTCCCTGACAGTCCCCAGCCTTCCCTGACAGTCCCCAGCCTTCCCTGACAGTCACCAGCCTTCCCTGACAGTCCCCAGCCTTCCCTGACAGTCACCAGCCTTCCCTGACAGTCACCAGCCTTCCCTGACAGTCACCAACCTTCCCTGACAGTCACCAGCCTTCCCTGACAGTCACCAGCCTTCCCTGACAGTCCCCAGCCTTCCCTGACAGTCCCCAGCCTTCCCTGACAGTCACCAGCCTTCCCTGACAGTCCCCAGCCTTCCCTGACAGTCACCAGCCTTCCCTGACAGTCACCAACCTTCCCTGACAGTCGCCAACCATCCCTGACAGTCACCAACCTTCCCTGACAGTCACCAGCCTTCCCTGACAGTCACCAGCCTTCCCTGACAGTCCCCAGCCTTCCCTGACAGTCCCCAGCCTTCCCTGACAGTCCCCAGCCTTCCCTGACAGTCACCAGCCTTCCCTGACAGTCCCCAACCTTCCCTGACAGTCGCCAACCATCCCTGACAGTCACCAACCATCCCTGACAGTCCCCAACCTTCCCTGACAGTCACCAACCATCACTGACAGTCACCAACCATCCCTGACAGTCCCCAACCTTCCCTGACAGTCACCAACCATCCCTGACAGTCACCAACCATCCCTAACAGTCACCAGCCTTCCCTGACAGTCGCCAACCATCCCTGACAGTCACCAACCATCCCTGACAGTCACCAACCTTCCCTGACAGTCACCAACCATCACTGACAGTCACCAACCATCCCTGACAGTCACCAACCATCCCTGACAGTCCCCAACCTTCCCTGACAGTCACCAACCATCCCTGACAGTCACCAACCATCCCTGACAGTCCCCAACCATCCCTGACAGTCCCCAACCATCCCTGACAGTCACCAACCATCCCTGACAGTCCCCAACCATCCCTGACAGTCACCAACCATCCCTGACAGTCACCAACCATCCCTGACAGTCCCCAACCGTCCCTGACAGTCCCCAACCATCCCTGACAGTCACCAACCATCTCTGACAGTCACCAACCATCCCTGACAGTCACCAACCATCCCTGACAGTCACCAACCATCCCTGACAGTCACCAACCTTCTCTGACAGTCACCAACCATCCCTGACAGTCACCAGCCTTCCCTGACAGTCACCAACCATCCCTGACAGTCACCAACCATCCCTGACAGTCCCCAACCGTCCCTGACAGTCACCAACCATCCCTGACAGTCACCAGCCTTCCCTGACAGTCGCCAACCATCCCTGACAGTCACCAACCATCCCTGACAGTCACCAACCTTCCCTGACAGTCACCAACCATCACTGACAGTCACCAACCATCCCTGACAGTCCCCAACCTTCCCTGACAGTCACCAACCATCCCTGACAGTCACCAACCATCCCTGACAGTCACCAACCATCCCTGACAGTCACCAACCATCCCTGACAGTCACCAACCATCCCTGACAGTCACCAGCCTTCCCTGACAGTCACCAACCATCCCTGACAGTCACCAACCATCCCTGACAGTCACCAACCATCCCTGACAGTCACCAACCATCCCTGACAGTCACCAACCATCCCTGACAGTCACCAACCTTCCCTGACAGTCACCAACCATCCCTGACAGTCACCAGCCTTCCCTGACAGTCACCAACCTTCCCTGACAGTCACCAACCATCCCTGACAGTCACCAACCATCCCTGACAGTCACCAACCATCCCTGACAGTCACCAGCCTTCCCTGACAGTCACCAGCCTTCCCTGACAGTCACCAACCTTCCCTGACAGTCACCAACCTTCCCTGACAGTCACCAACCTTCCCTGACAGTCACCAACCTTCCCTGACAGTCACCAATTTTCCCTGACAGTCACCAGCCGTCCCTGACAGTCACCAACCGTCCCTGACAGTCACCAACCATCCCTGACAGTCACCAGCCTTCCCTGACAGTCACTAGCCTTCCCTGACAATCACCAACCTTCCCTGACAGTCACCAACCATCCCTGACAGTCACCAGCCTTCCCTGACAATCACCAACCTTCCCTGACAGTCACCAACCATCCCTGACAGTCACCAGCCTTCCCTGACAGTCACCAGCCTTCCCTGACAGTCACCAACCTTCCCTGACAGTCACCAACCATCCCTGACAGTCCCCAGCCTTCCCTGACAGTCACCAACCGTCCCTGACAGTCACCAGCCTTCCCTACCAGTCACCAGCCTTCCCTGACAGTCACCAGTCTTCCCTGACAGTCACCAACCGTCCCTGACAGTCCCCAACCTTCCCTGACAGTCACCAACCGTCCCTGACAGTCACCAACCATCCCTGATAGTCACCAACCATCCCTGACAGTCCCCAGCCTTCCCTGACAGTCACCAACCTTCCCTGACAGTCACCAGCCTTCCCTGACAGTCACCAGCCTTCCCTGACAGTCACCAACCTTCCCTGACAGTCACCAGCCTTCCCTGACAGTCACCAACCTTCCCTGACAGTCACCAGCCTTCCCTGACAGTCACCAACCTTCCCTGACAGTCCCCAACCGTCCCTGACAGTCACCAACCGTCCCTGACAGTCCCCAACCGTCCCTGACAGTCACCAACCGTCCCTGACAGTCACCAACCATCCCTGACAGTCACCAACCATCCCTGACAGTCACCAACCTTCCCTGACAGTCACCAACCTTCCCTGACAGTCACCAACCTTCCCTGACAGTCACCAATCTTCCCTGACAGTCACCAGCCGTCCCTGACAGTCACTAGCCTTCCCTGAGTCACCAACCTTCCCTGACAGTCCCCAACCTTCCCTGACAGTCCCCAACCGTCCCTGACAGTCACCAACCATCCCTGACAGTCACCAACCGTCCCTGACAGTCACCAACCGTCCCTGACAGTCCCCAACCGTCCCTGACAGTCACCATCCTTCCCTGACAGTCACCAACCGTCCCTGACAGTCCCCAACCGTCCCTGACAGTCCCTAACCGTCCCTGACAGTCACCAGCCTTCCCTGACAGTCACCAACCATCCCTGACAGTCACCAGCCTTCCCTGACAGTCACCAACCATCCCTGATAGTCACCAACCTTCCCTGACAGTCACCAGCCTTCCCTGACAGTCCCCAACCTTCCCTGACAGTCACCAGCCTTCCCTGACAGTCACCAACCATCCCTGACAGTCCCAATGCGTCCCTGACAGTCACCAATCTTCCCTGACAGTCACCAACCTTCTCTGACAGTCACCAACCTTCCCTGACAGTCACCAACCATCCCTGACAGTCCCCAAGCGTCCCTGACAGTCACCAACCATCCCTGACAGTCCCCAAGCGTCCCTGACAGTCACCAACCATCCCTGACAGTCCCCAAGCGTCCCTGACAGTCACCAACCTTCTCTGACAGTCACTAACCATCCCTGACAGTCCCAAACCGTCCCTGACAGTCACCAACCTTCCCTGACAGTCACCAGTCTTCTCCACTGTTGCAGAGGTCGGTGTGTCGTGGTGGTGAGTGCGTGTGTGAGTACCCCCGCACTTGGGGTCCGTCAGGCTGTGAGGACTCACAGGTGAGGCCACAGAATACACACATACAGCCACAGTTAAAGTCACAGAACACACATCTAGCCACAGTTAGAGTCACAGAACACACATCTAGCCACAGAACACACACATCTAGCCACAGTTAAAGCCACAGAGCACACATCTAGCCACAGTTAAAGTCACAGAACACACATCTAGCCACAGTTAGAGTCACAGAACACACATCTAGCCACAGTTAAAGCCACAGAACACACATCTAGCCACAGTTAGAGTCACAGAACACACATCTAGCCACAGTTAGAGTCACAGAACACACATCTAGCCACAGTTAAAGCCACAGAACACACATCTAGTCACAGTTAAAGTCACAGAACACGCATCTAGCCACAGTTAAAGCCACAGAACACGCATCTAGCCACAGTTAAAGCCACAGAACACACATCTAGCCACAGTTAAAGCCACAGAACACACATCTAGTCACAGTTAAAGTCACAGAACACGCATCTAGCCACAGTTAAAGCCACAGAACACACATCTAGCCAAAGTTAGAGTCACAGAACACACATCTAGCCACAGTTAAAGTCACAGAACACACATCTAGCCACAGTTAAAGTCACAGAACACACATCTAGCCACAGTTAAAGTCACAGAACACACATCTAGCCACAGTTAAAGTCACAGAACACACATCTAGCCACAGTTAGAGTCACAGAACACACATCTAGCCACAGTTAGAGTCACAGAACACACATCTAGCCACAGTTAGAGTCACAGAACACACATCTAGCCACAGTTAAAGTCACAGAACACACATCTAGCCACAGTTAAAGTCACAGAACACACATCTAGCCACAGTTAAAGCCACAGAACACACATCTAGCCACAGTTAAAGCCACAGAACACACATCTAGCCACAGTTAAAGCCACAGAACACACATCTAGCCACAGTTAAAGCCAATTTACTCATGTCTTTCTGTTTGACTAGTAGTCTATGTGACTGTCTTGGTGGCACAGTTTATATGGCTGTTCACCTGCATGTCTTCTTACCTGTGGGTGGCAAGTTTCATGTCTAATGCCTGACTGGTCAAAATATTTATTGACTCCGTTCCCTTCGTTGTAAGAAACACAGGATTGACTCCAGACGTCCTGTGGAGTCTGTGGAATCCCAGGTCGTATAACTTATGCCATGTCATGGTGCAGGGGGGTAAGGTGCGCAGCTTTGAAGCACCCGGGGGTTCGAATCCCCCCTGTTCCTTACCTTGAGGTTACCTTGAGGTGCTTCCGGGGCTTAGCGTCCCCGCGGCCCGGTCGTCGACCAGGCCTCCTGGTTGCCGGACTGATCAACCAGGCTGTTGGACGCGGCTGCTCTCAGCCTGACGTATGAGTCACAGCCTGGTTGATCAGGTATCAACTTGCTCCAATTGATTTTCTCGTTGATCTGTAACGTTAGTATATTTTCCTTGTGAATTTTAACAATGTTTCTTGATGTATCAATTACATAAAAATACTTCAAAAATTATTATATTACTAAGAGCCAGGATGAATGGATTTTATCAAGCCAATCCCCTAAATTATGATTTTTAGGTAAAATAGAATCACCATATTGTTCATAAAGTTAAAAAAGATAATTCATTCAGATGGTCACAAATCTCTTGTTTACCTGATGTGTTATTTAACAAATGAGGCCCAAGTTTGTTTAATAATCCCCTGGAAGCTGCTTAACGCCAGAGGAAAAGAGAGATTAGGGTCTATAATGGATGCTGCGGCATCACCCACAGGTCATCTACATGGGAGACATGCTCTTTGTCATCTCCCTAGTGCTGTGTTACCAGTGATGCTGTGACTGCCCACTGTGAGATATATCCCCAGTGATGCTGTGACTGCCCACTGTGAGATATATCCCCAGTGATGCTGTGACTGGCCACTGTGAGATATATCTCCAGTGATGCTGTGACTGGCCACTGTGAGATATATCCCCAGTGATGCTGTGACTGGCCACTGTGAGATATATCCCCAGTGATGCTGTGACTGCCCACTGTGAGATATATCCCCCAGTGATGCTGTGACTGCCCACTGTGAGATATATCTCCAGTGATGCTGTGACTGGCCACTGTGAGATATATCCCCAGTGATGCTGTGACTGGCCACTGTGAGATATATCTCCAGTGATGCTGTGACTGGCCACTGTGAGATATATCTCCAGTGATGCTGTGACTGGCCACTGTGAGATATATCCCCAGTGATGCTGTGACTGGCCACTGTGGGATATATCCCCAGTGATGCTGTGACTGCCCACTGTGAGATATATCCCCAGTGATGCTGTGACTGGCCACTGTGAGATATATCTCCAGTGATGCTGTGACTGGCCACTGTGAGATATATCCCCAGTGATGCTGTGACTGGCCACTGTGAGATATATCCCCAGTGATGCTGTGACTGGCCACTGTGAGATATATCCCCAGTGATGCTGTGACTGGCCACTGTGAGATATATCCCCAGTGATGCTGTGACTGGCCACTGTGAGATATATCTCCAGTGATGCTGGAGACCCTTAGCACCTTTCTCTCAGCTGAACTTGATCAGGGTGGTTCCCTGTACTTAAGACCAACTTAGCCATCAAGGAACGTATTCCTACACGACATTTCACAATCGTTATGTATTTCAGTGATACTAATAAACCTGGTCGGTACGTGAATACAACTTGACTCAAAATACATTATAAGTAGAGTCATGTAGGACTACCCATCACCATGTTGTGTGGTGCCATGCCAGCCACACATCACCATCCCCAGGGTGACGGGTGCACACCATCTCTCCCACAGATCCTGGGAGGTCAGTGCACGTCAAACAACCAGTGCACAGCCGTGACGCCAAACTCCGTGTGCAGCGACTCCTTGTGCACCTGTCTACCTCCCCTCACCAGCTACCTCAACCTGGCCTGCATTCACGGTGAGACCTCCACGGACACACACGCGCACGTGCACACAAACACATGCACACAAGCACACGCACGCACACACACATGCGAGTCACTGTGAGGGGTGAGGTCTCAGATTGGCGAGACGTCGCCAGTGGAGTCCCGCAGGAGTCAGTCCTTGGATCTATACTGTTTCTGATATATGTAATTGATCTCCCAGAGGGAATAGAATCGTTCCTCTCATTGTTTGCTGATGATACAAAAATTATGAGGAGGATTAAGACAGGATGATAGTAGGAGGCTACAAGATGACCTAGACAGACTGACTGAATGGTCCAACAAATGGCTACTAAAGTTCAACCCAAGTAGATGTAAGGTAATGAAACTAGGCGGAGGAAATAGCAGGCCAGACACAGGATATCGAAAGGGAGATGAAGTCCTTCATGAAACAGAGATTAAGATCTAGGAGTTGATATCACGCCAAACCTGTCTCCTGAAGCCCATATCAAAAGATAAACTTCGGCGGCGTATGCGAGGCTGGTTATCATCAGAACTGCCTTCAGGAACCTTTGTAAGGAATCCTTCAGAACTTTGTATACCACGTATGTAAGACCAATCCTGGAGTATGCGGCCCCAGCATGGAGCACAAGACGAAGCTGGAAAAGTGTATAGGTATGCCACTTGGCTAGTCCCAGAACCAAGAGGCATGAGTTACGAGGAAAGAGTGAGTAAGGTAGTAGTGATAAGAGAGTCACCTCACCACATACAAAATTCTCAGGGGGAATTGACATGGTGGACAAGGATGGATTATTTAACACTGGTGGTACGCGAACACGGGGACACAGGTGGAAGCTGAGTGCCCAAATGAACCACAGGGACGTTAGAAAGAATTTTTTCAGTGTCAGAGAAGGTAGTAAATGGAATGCACTAGGAAGTGATGTGGTGGAGGCTGACTCCATACACAGTTTCAAGTGTAGATATGATAGAGCCCAATAGGCCCAGGAACCTGTACACCAGTTGACTGACGGTTGAGAGGCGGGACCAAAGAGCCAGAGCTCAACCCCCGCAAGCACAACTAGGTAAGTACAACTAGGTGAGTACACACACACACACACACACACACACACACACACACACACACATTTTGTGTGTGAATTTATAGAGCCCAATAGGCTCAGGAATCTGTACACCTGTTGATTGACGGTTGAGAGGCGGGACCAAAGAGCCAGAGCTCAACCCCCGCAAACACAACTAGGTGAGTACACAGCACACACACACAGGTGACAGCAGAGGATGTAATGAAACAGTTGACAACACTGGATGCAAATAAAGCTGTTGGACCAGACAAAGTATCACCGTGGATACTTAAAGAGGCAGCGCAGGCTCTCAGCGTGCCTCTGGCAATGATCTTTAATGAGTCACTTATGTCGGGAGAATTGCCCAGTTGCTGGAAGGAGGCAAATGTCGTACCGATTTTCAAAAAAGGTGATAGGGAGGAGGCACTTAACTACAGACCCGTATCACTGACAAGCATCCCCTGCAAAATACTTGAAAGAATAATTAGGCTAAGACTTGTTGAGCACCTGGAGAGCATTGGGTTTGTAAACAAGCACCAACATGGGTTCTGGACAGGGAAATCATGCCTAACAAACCTTTTAGAATTCTATGATAAAGTAACAAGGATAAGGCAGGACAGAGAAGGCTGGGCAGACTGCATATTTCTTGACTGCCAAAAGGCCTTTGATACGGTACCGCACATGAGACTGCTATACAAACTTGAGAGGCAGGCAGGAGTAAGCGGAAAGGCCCTAGTATGGGTGAAGAACTACCTAACAGGAAGGAGCCAGAGGGTAATGGTAAGGGGCGAAAAGTCGGACTGGCGAACAGTAACAAGTGGAGTACCTCAAGGATCGGTGCTGGGACCAATCCTCTTTCTAATTTACGTAAATGATATGTTTACAGGAGTGGAATCATACATGTCAATGTTTGCAGATGACGCAAAATTAATGAGAAGAGTTGTGACAGACGAGGATTGTAGGATCCTCCAAGAGGACTTAAACAGGCTGCAGAGATGGTCAGGGAAATGGCTACTGGAGTTTAACACCAGTAAATGTAAAGTTATGGAAATGGGATCAGGTGACAGGAGACCAAAGGGACAGTACACAATGAAGGGGAACAGCCTACCTGTAACGATTCGAGAAAGAGACCTGGGAGTGGATGTGACACCTAATCTAACTCCTGAGGCACATATAAATAGGATAACGACAGCAGCGTACTCTACACTGGCGAAAATTAGAACTTCATTCAGAAACCTAAATGAGGAAGCTTTTAGGGCGCTTTACACTGCCTACGTGAGACCCGTCTTAGAGTATGCCGCGCCATCATGGAGCCCCCACCTGAAGAAACACATAAAGAAACTGGAGAAGGTTCAGAGATTTGCGACGAGGCTTGTCCCAGAGCTACGAGGGATGGGATATGAAGAGCGGCTGAAGGAACTGAACCTTACGACACTAGAGAAAAGAAGGGAGAGAGGAGATATGATAGGGACATATAAAATACTCAGGGGAATTGACAAAGTGGAAATAGGTGAAATGTTCACACGTAATAATAACAGAACGAGGGGACATGGGTGGAAACTGGAAACTCAGATGAGTCACAGAGATGTTAGGAAGTTTTCTTTTAGCGTGAGAGTAGTAGAAAAATGGAATGCACTTGGGGAACAGGTTGTGGAAGCAAATACTATTCATACTTTTAAAACTAGGTATGATAGGGAAATGGGACAGGAGTCATTGCTGTAAACAACCGATAGCTAGAAAGGCGGGATCCAAGAGTCAATGCTCGATCCTGCAAGCACATATAGGTGAGTACATATAGGTGAGTACACACACACACACACACACACACACACACACACACACACACACACACACACACACACACACACACACACACACACACACACAAACACACACACATCTACATAAATGATCTACCAGATGGAATACAGAATTATATGAACATGTTTGCTGATGATGCTAAGATAATAGGAAGGATAAGAGACTTGAATGATTGTCATGCCTTTCAAGATGACCTGGACACAATAAGTATATGGAGCACCACTTAGCAAATGGAATTTAATGTTAATAAATGTCATGTTATGGAATGTGGAATAGGAGAACATAGACCCCACACAACCTATAAATTATGTGAGAAATCTTTAAAGACTTCTGATAAAGAAAGAGATCTAGGGGTAGTTCTAGATAGAAAACTATCACCTGAGGACCACATAAAGAACGTTCTACGAGGGGCCTATGCCACGCTTTCTAACTTCAGAATTGCTTTTAAATACATGGATGGCGATATACTAAAGAAATTGTTCACAACTTTTGTTAAGCCAAAGCTGGAATATGCAGCGGATCTTAAGAAGCACATCAACAAACTGGAAAAGGTGCAAAGACATGGCATTAAGTGGCTCCCAGAACTGAAGGGCAAGAGCTACGAGGAGAGGATAGAGGCATTAAATATGCCAAAACTAGAAGACAAGAAAAAGAGCTGATATGATCACTACATACAAAATTGTAACAGGAATTGATAAAATCGATAGGGAAGATTTCCTGAGGCCTGGAACTTTCAAGAACAAGAGGTCATAGATATAAACTAGCTAACAAAGACGCCGAAGAAATATAAGAAAAATCACTTTCGCAAACAGAGTGGTAGACGGTTGGAACAAGGTGAGAGGGTGGTGGAGGCCAAGACCGTCAGTAGTTTCAAAGCGTTATATGACAAAGAGTGCTGGGAAGACGGGACACCACGAGCGTAGATCTCATCCTGTAACTACACTTAGGTAATTACACACACGCACGCACATACACACACCTCTGAACTTCTCCTATACCCTCTCTTTCTCTAACAACAACTTCAGTCATTAATCCCACTCAAACCATCTTAACACACAATGAATCGATTCCCAGCCAAATAAACAATTTCATACACAGTTTTGCACACCAACTGACTAAACAGAATACTTTCGGCTTTAAATGATCAATTACGTTCAATACTTTGTATAGAATTGGAATGCAAGTCATTAGTATGATTAAATTTGCATAACTTGTATTTGTATAGGCGAGGGTGTATATATATACAAGCTGTATAGTCGGTGGGAGAAAGAGGCAGTATTCACCTTTTATAATTAGACCGGGAACCCAATATCTAATACAGGAATAATACAGGTTCCAATACAGCTCCTGCCCACCTCCCTTCCCCCCAGCCAGCGTGGTGGGGGCCCACACTCACCCCACCTCCCCCCCCCACAGCCAGCGTGGTGGGGGCCCACACTCACCCCACCTCCCCCCCACCCACAGCCAGCGTGGTGGGGGCCCACATTCACCCTACCTCCCTCCCCCACAGCCAGCGTGGTGGGGGCCCACACTCACCCCACCTTCCCCCCACCACCCACAGCCAGCGTGGTGGGGGCCCACACTCACCCCACCTTCCCCCCCCCCACCCACAGCCAGCGTGGTGGGGGCCCCCACTCACCCCACCTCCCTCCCCCACAGCCAGCGTGGTGGGGGCCCACACTCACCCCACCTTCCCCCCCCACAGCCAGCGTGGTGGGGGGCCCCACTCACCCCACCTCCCTCCCCCACAGCCAGCGTGGTGGGGGCCCACACTCACCCCATCTCCCTCCCCCACAGCCAGCGTGGTGGGGGCCCACACTCACCCCACCTTCCTCCCCCACAGCCAGCGTGGTGGGGGCCCACACTCACCCCACCTTCCCCCCCCCCCCACAGCCAGCGTGGTGGGGGCCCACACTCACCCCACCTTCCCCCCCCCCCACAGCCAGCGTGGTGGGGGCCCACACTCACCCCACCTTCCCCCCCCCCACAGCCAGCGTGGTGGGGGCCCACACTCACCCCACCTCCCTCCCCCACAGCCAGCGTGGTGGGGGCCCACACTCACCCCACCTTCCCCCCTCCCCACCCACAGCCAGCGTGGTGGGGGCCCCCACTCACCCCACCTCCCTCCATCACAGCCAGCGTGGTGGGGGCCCACACTCACCCCACCTTCCCCCCCACAGCCAGCGTGGTGGGGGGCCCACACTCACCCCACCTCCCTCCCCCACAGCCAGCGTGGTGGGGGCCCACACACACCCCAACTCCCTACCCCACAGCCAGCGTGGTGGGGGCCCACACTCACCCCACCTCCCTCCCCCACAGCCAGCGTGGTGGGGGCCCACACTCACCCCACCTCCCTCCCCCACAGCCAGCGTGGTGGGGGCCCACACTCACCCCACCTCCCTCCCCCACAGCCAGCGTGGTGGGGGCCCACACTCACCCCACCTCCCTCCCCCACAGCCAGCGTGGTGGGGGCCCACACTCACCCCACCTCCCTCCCCCATAGCCAGCGTGGTGGGGGCCCACACTCACCCCACCTCCCTCCCCCACAGCCAGCGTGGTGGGGGCCCACACTCACCCCACCTCCCGCCCCCCCAGCCAGCGTGGTGGGGGCCCACACTCACCCCACCTCCCTCCCCCACAGCCAGCGTGGTGGGGGCCCACACTCACCCCACCTCCCTCCCCCACAGCCAGCGTGGTGGGGGCCATGTGCTACAACAACGCACAGTGCCGGGCAGTGAACAAGTTCAGCTTCTGTAAGTTCGTCGTGTCCGAGGTGGTGGGCGCGTGCACCTGTGACCCTGACCAGTTCATCGATGCCCAGGGCCGCTGCGTGCCCAGGCTAGGTGAGTTGACCCCAGTTTACACAAGTTTACACAAGTTGACCCCAGTTTACACAAGTTTACACAAGTTGACCCCAGTTGACCCCAGTTTACACAAGTTGACCCCAGTTTACACCAGTTGATCCCAGTTTACACCAGTTGACCCCAGTTTACACCAGTTGACCCCAGTTTACGCCAGTTGACCCCAGTTTACACCAGTTGACCCCAGTTGACCCCAGTTTACACCAGTTGACCCCAGTTTACACCAGTTGATCCCAGTTTACACCAGTTGACCCCAGTTTATGCCAGTTGACCCCAGTTTACACCAGTTGACCCCAGTTTACACCAGTTGACCCAAGTTTACACCAGTTGACCCCAGTTTACGCCAGTTGACCCCAGTTTACACCAGTTGACCCCAGTTTACACCAGTTGACCCCAGTTTACACCAGGTTACACCAGTTGACCCCAGTTTACACCAGTTGACCCCAGTTTACACCTGTTGACCCCAGTTTACACCAGTTGACCCCAGTTTACACCAGTTGACCCCAGTTTACTCCAGTTGACCCCAGTTTACACCAGTTGACCCCAGTTTACACCAGTAGACCCCAGTTGACCCCAGTTTACACCACTTGATCCCAGTTTACACCAGTTGACCCCAGTTTACACCTGTTGACCCCAGTTTACACCAGTTGACCCCAGTTTACACCAGTTGACCCCAGTTTACACCAGTTGACCCCAGTTTACACCAGTTGATCCCAGTTTACACCAGTTTACACCAGTTGACCCCAGTTTACACCTGTTGATCCCAGTTTACACCAGTTGACCCAAGTTTACGCCAGCTGACCCCAGTTTACACCAGTTGACTCCAGTTTACGCCAGTTGACTCCAGTTTACGCCAGTTGACCCCAGTTTACGCCAGTTGACCCCAGTTTACGCCAGTTGACCCCAGTTTATGCCAGTTGATCCCAGTTTACACCAGTTGACCCCAGTTTACACCAGTTGACCCCAGTTTACACCAGTTGACCCAAGTTTACACCAGTTGACCCAAGTTTACACCAGTTGATACCAGTTTACACCAGTTGACCCCAGTTTACACCAGTTGACCCCAGTTGATCTCAGTTTACGCTAGTTGATCTCAGTTTACGCTAGTTGATCTCAGTTTACACCAGTTGACCCCAGTTTACACCAGTTGACTTCAGTTTACACCAGTTGACCCCAGTTTGCACCAGTTGACCCCAGTTTACACCAGTTGACCCCAGTTTACACCAGTTTACACCAGTTGACCCCAGTTTACACCAGTTTACACCAGTTGACCCCAGTTTACACCAGTTGATCTCAGTTTACGCTAGTTGAGCTCAGTTTACACCAGTTGACCCCAGTTTATACCAGTTGACCTCAGTTTACACCAGTTGACCCCAGTTTACACCAGTTGACCCCAGTTTACACCAGTTTACACCAGTTGACCCCAGTTTACACCAGTTGATCTCAGTTTACGCTAGTTGAGCTCAGTTTACACCAGTTGACCCCAGTTTATACCAGTTGACCCCAGTTTATACCAGTTGACCTCAGTTTACACCAGTTGACCCCAGTTGACCCCAGTTGACACCAGTTGACCCCAGTTTACACCAGTTTACCCCAGTTTACACCAGGGGCGCCATCTCTAGCCAACTCGGTCGGAGATAGTAAGGCTACACTGACAAAAATGCCCAAGGTGGACCCAAGGTGGGCCCAAGGTGGCCCAAGGTGGCCCACGGTGGCCCAAGGTGGCCCAAGGTGGCCCAAGGTGGCCCAAGGTGGCCCACGGTGGCCCAAGGTGGCCCAAGGTGGCCCACGGTGGCCCAAGGTGGCCCAAGGTGGGCCCAAGGTGGCCCAAGGTGGCCCAAGGTGGCCCACGGTGGCCCAAGGTGGCCCAAGGCTCTTTTCATTAGATGGGAAACGTAAATTTCCAGTGTCTCGTCCACCATCATGATTGCATCCGGGCTACGATTGTTTACGGCCTAAGATTGCTTATTTAGAACTAGGATGGTCTACCTTGGTCTAGGATTCTTTATATAGGCCAATAATGGCTTATATAGGCATAGAATGGCTTATATAGGCTTATAATGGCTTATATAAGCCTATAATGGCTTATATAGGCTTATAATGGCTTATATAGGCATAGAATGGCTTATATACACCTAGAATTGCTCATATAGGCACATAATTGTTCATGCAAGCCGAGGATATTGTAGTTCGTGGATTGCTTATTTTGGCCTCGGGCAGTTACAATAGGTTAGGTTCCTGATTAATGCATTTCAGTTTTTGCTATAACCTGCATAATTACAATAGTAGAAAACGTGTTTTTTGACCTATAACTGTTACTATTTTGCACATTATCTAAACAGTAGCTATAGATACTATCAGGTTTAGGGAACGGGTTGCAGAAATTGGATATGGGCCAGGTAATTTGATCAACACATAATACACGACTCGTATTGCAGAAATTGGATACAGGAGGCCTAAAGTTCCCGTGACTGGTGATGCTGAGCGCAGCTGTAAAATGATTTATGATAATGCTATACAACAGGGATCACATTGCAAAGCAAAGCGAAAATATTAGTGATTCTGGTGTAGAGTTCCGGAGGGGGGGGGGGGGAATAGGTGTCCCCCCCCCACCTCTACTATCCCCCCACACCCCTGTTCACCCCCTCCTCCAGTTATCCTTTATCCCACTTTCCGTTTCACATGACTTGTTTCTACCCTGTCTTAATCATTTTCTTAAGAGAGTTATCATCTTAGCTACTTCCTTCTGCAGTTCCTTTCTCAAGGTCCCCTCTTATTCTTGATGATAACATTCTTTGTTTCATGTTTTGTTTTGTGTGTTTCATATATATATATATATATATATATATATATATATATATATATATATATATATATATATATATATATATATATATATATAAATATATATATAAATATATGTTGTACCTAGTAGCCAGAACGTCGTACTCGGCCTGCTATGCAAGGCCCGATTTGCCTAATAAGCCAAGTTTTCCTGAATTAATATATTTTCTCTAATTTTTTTCTTATGAAATGATAAAGCTACCCATTTCATTATGTATGAGGTCAGTTTTTTTTTTATTGGAGTTAAAATTAACGTAGATATATGACCGAACCTAACCAACCCTACCTAACCTAACCTATCTCTATAGGTTAGGTTATGTTAGGTAGCAGAAAAAGTTAGGTTAGGTAGTCGAAAAACAATTCATAAAAACTTGGCTTATTAGGCAAATCGGACCTTGCATAGTAGGCCGAGAAGTGCGTTCTGGCTACTTGGTACGACATATATATATATATATAACTTTTTAGACACTCAACCCACCAGGAGACTCGAACACTGGCCAACAAGGTGGCAGTTGCATGCTGTATCCACTACACCATACTTCAAAGCCATAAGAGAGGTAGGAATTCTGGGGTATTTAACCAACCAGAACTCCAATCCTCTCCCAGGCAATGAGATAGTGTGGGACCTCTAATGCTCTTTCATCGGTTCCTGTTATATGGGAAAACTCAGTGCCAAATGCTTAATGCACAGACTACCCTATTCCAGTAGCTGAAGTTTAGAACTTTTAGTTCTAAACTTTAGTTCAGCTACTGGAATAGGGTAGTCTGTGCATATATATATATATATATATATATATATATATATATATATATATATATATATATATATATATATATATATATATATATATATATTAAATATGACCGAAAAAGTAAGATTAATAATTCTAACACGAATTTTCTCAATCTTTCGTACATTTCTTTTCACTGTTGGAGGTAAATCATAAATCAATTCTCCAAAATTCATTTTTATTTCTAGTCTGACGCGACACGAGCGCGTTTCGTAAAACTTATTACATTTTCAAAGACTTTAGAAATCCTAGTAAACAACACAGAAATCATCGATAGATACAGTGATAGCAGGCGGCTTGACGTTTGCGAGGCACTACACATCAAGAAGTCAACACCAGCAATCAACAGCCAATTAATGCACAACTATATTCTACCCACCTCAAGACTCCGCTCCAATATAGAAGCATCAAGAAATATGGACCAATAGGCTTTCTACAATCACTTCTATTCAATACCCATTGTTTCGTGTTCTGTCTTGTGTTGATTAAATTAATACCCTATTAATGCCACCTCTTGTTCTGTCTTATGTTGATGAAATTAATACCCTATTAATGCCACCTCACCCCATCCACCTCTCTCAAATGTAGATATAAAAACAAAATCGGAGATGCGTAAGTTCTATTCAGTTGTGTATTTGTAAACTAAAGTCTTTGAAAATGTAATAAGTTTTACGAAACGCGCTCGTGTCGCGTCAGACTAGAAATAAAAATTAATTTTGGAGAATTGATTTATGATTTACCTCCAACAGAGAAAAGAAATGTACGAAAGATTGAGAAAATTCGTGTTAGAAATTATTAATCTTACTTTTTCGGTCATATTTAATAATATATGTCTACAGGAAAGACTGCTACCAAAATATACTAATATATATATATATATATATATACATATATAATTAGTTCGTTATGGTTTTGTGTATAGTTAGACCTAGGTCAGATTGATGATTTGCTTATGTGGGTAATTATATATATTTACATCACGCTCTGTAAACCTAATTAGCCTAATTACCAATGAGCCATAAATGGCTAACTTGTGTACAAACCATAACAATATTCAATTGTATTTGAGATAAAACACAAATTATTAAATGTTTTATGAAACAAAAAATATATAAGACGATTTTGAGATGATGCCTTTTTATACTCCATTATGTAATAAGAATTAACATAGGTCTTTGGAGTGGTTAGACGCCTATGATAGTTCCCTATGGACTTGTTGCCTGAGGCAGGTCTAGGGAGTCACACTGCAAAGCATAGTAACACGTCAAGTGGTGGTACTTCTCCTTCCACTTTGTGGGGAAATGCAAGACTGCTTCGGTTGTCTCCGGTCGTTAAGGAAGACACCTTAATGTGTGTCTCACAAGAGAGACACATTAAGGTGTCACCAGGAGACAATACCAATATCCCAGGGAGGCGAGGAGCTCGTAGCCGAGTCTTCTGGTGGAGTCGTTAACTAGTTTTCTCCCGCAGGTGGGACGGTGACAAACGAGGTGTGACCGGGTGTCTCCTGTTGCAGGTGGGCGGTGTAACAAGGGCGACTGTCCCAGACAACTGGGCGCGGCTTCCTGTCAGCGGGGTCGAGACGCCGTTCTTAAGTGCTTCTGCAGGAAAAAGGCCGTGCAGCGGCGGGGCGTGTGTGTGTTACCCTAGCTGGCTCCCGCTGGTGCTTGTTACCCTAGCTGGCTCCCGCCGGTGCTGGCGGCCCTCGCTGGCTCCTGCTGGTGCTTGTTACCCTAGCTGGTTCCCGCCGGTGCTTGTTACCCTAGCTGGCTCCCGCTGGTGCTTGTTACCCTAGCTGGCTCCCGCCGGTGCTTGTTACCCTCGCTGGCTCCCGCTGGTGCTTGTTACCCTAGCTGGTTCCCGCCGGTGCTTGTTACCCTAGCTGGCTCCCGCTGGTGCTTGTTACCCTAGCTGGCTCCCGCCGGTGCTTGTTACCCTCGCTGGCTCCCGCTGGTGCTTGTTACCCTAGCTGGCTCCCGCCGGTGCTTGTTCCCCTAGCTGGCTCCCGCTGGTGCTTGTTACCCTAGCTGGTTCCCGCCGGTGCTTGTTACCCTAGCTGGCTCCCGCTGGTGCTTGTTACCCTAGCTGGCTCCCGCCGGTGCTTGTTACCCTAGCTGGCTCCCGCTGGTGCTTGTTACCCTAGCTGGCTCCCGCTGGTGCTTGTTACCCTAGCTGGCTCCCGCCGGTGCTTGTTACCCTCGCTGGCTCCCGCTGGTGCTTGTTACCCTAGCTGGCTCCCGCTGGTGCTTGTTACCCTAGCTGGCTCCCGCTGGTGCTTGTTACCCTAGCTGGCTCCCGCCGGTGCTTGTTACCCTCGCTGGCTCCCGCTGGTGCTTGTTACCCTAGCTGGCTCCCGCCGGTGCTTGTTACCCTAGCTGGCTCCCGCTGGTGCTTGTTACCCTAGCTGGTTCCCGCCGGTGCTTGTTACCCTAGCTGGCTCCCGCTGGTGCTTGTTACCCTAGCTGGCTCCCGCCGGTGCTTGTTACCCTAGCTGGCTCCCGCCGGTGCTTGTTACCCTAGCTGGCTCCCGCTGGTGCTTGTTACCCTAGCTGGCTCCCGCCGGTGCTTGTTACCCTCGCTGGCTCCCGCTGGTGCTTGTTACCCTAGCTGGCTCCCGCCGGTGCTTGTTACCCTAGCTGGCTCCCGCTGGTGCTTGTTACCCTAGCTGGTTCCCGCCGGTGCTTGTTACCCTAGCTGGCTCCCGCTGGTGCTTGTTACCCTAGCTGGCTCCCGCCGGTGCTTGTTACCCTAGCTGGCTCCCGCTGGTGCTTGTTACCCTAGCTGGCTCCCGCTGGTGCTTGTTACCCTAGCTGGTTCCCGCCGGTGCTTGTTACCCTAGCTGGCTCCCGCTGGTGCTTGTTACCCTAGCTGGTTCCCGCCGGTGCTTGTTACCCTAGCTGGCTCCCGCTGGTGCTTGTTACCCTAGCTGGCTCCCGCCGGTGCTTGCGGCCCTAGCTGGCTCCCGCTGGTGCTTGCGGCCCTAGCTGGCTCCCGCTGGTGCTTGCGGCCCTAGCTGGCTCCCGCCGGTGCTTGCGGCCCTCGCTGGCTCCCGCTGGTGCTTGTTACCCTAGCTGGCTCCCGCCGGTGCTTGCGGCCCTCGCTGGCTCCCGCTGGTGCTGGCGGCCCTCGCTGGCTCCCGCTGGTGCTGGCGGCCCTCACTGGCTCCCGCTGGTGCCTGCGGCCCCACGCTCCCACTGGTGCTGGCGGCCCCACGCTCCCACTGGTGTTGGCGGCCCCACGCTCCCACTGGTGCTGGTGCTGGCGGCCCCACGCTCCCGCTGGTGCCGGCGGCCCCACGCTCCCGCTGGTGCCGGCGGCCCTCACTGGCTCCCGCTGGTGCCGGCGGCCCCACGCTCCCCCTGGTGCTGGCGGCCCCACGCTCCCACTGGTGTTGGCGGCCCCACGCTCCCACTGGTGCTGGTGCTGGCGGCCCCACGCTCCCACTGGTGTTGGCGGCCCCACGCTCCCGCTGGTGCTGGCGGCCCCACGCTCCCGCTGGTGCTGGCGGCCCCACGCTCCCGCTGGTGCCGGCGGCCCCACGCTCCCGCTGGTGCCGGCGGCCCCACGCTCCCGCTGGTGCCGGCGGCCCCACGCTCCCGCTGGTGCTGGCGGCCCCACGCTCCCGCTGGTGCCGGCGGCCCCACGCTCCCGCTGGTGCCGGCGGCCCCACGCTCCCGCTGGTGCCGGCGGCCCCACGCTCCCGCTGGTGCCGGCGGCCCCACGCTCCCGCTGGTGCTGGCGGCCCCACGCTCCCGCTGGTGCCGGCAGCCCCACGCTCCCGCTGGTGCCGGCGGCCCCACGCTCCCGCTGGTGCCGGCGGCCCCACGCTCCCGCTGGTGCTGGCGGCTCCACGCTCCCGCTGGTGCCGGCGGCCCCACGCTCCCGCTGGTGCTGGCGGCCCCACGCTCCCGCTGGTGCCGGCGGCCCCACGCTCCCGCTGGTGCCGGCGGCCCCACGCTCCCGCTGGTGCCGGCGGCCCCACGCTCCCGCTGGTGCCGGCGGCCCCACGCTCCTAACAAAATCTGCCCGTTTAGCCAGCCATGAATGAGCTTGTTAATGGAATTTCTTTTCTGGTTTCCAAGTGAAGAAATGTATAAGGACCGAGCATGTGTATGTAGGTAATGTGTAGAGTTTGAGTACATGTGGCCACGTGAGACACAGTGACGGAGGGTGTGTGTTTGTGCTTGTCAGGTCCGGAGCACATGTGTGTTAGTAGTCAAGAGGGAGACTGTGTGTGAAGGAATAGTTCTTTGGATTGTCTGGGGATGAATTAATAGCTACTTGGAGTGTGTTGGGGTGACTGAATATTGTACGGACTATAAATAAGTGAGAATATTGTTAGAGGCAGTTGAGTTGTTGTTGTTAAGATTCACTACCTGGTATAAAAAGTTCCAAGTAGCACGGGCTATGGTGAGCCCGTAGTGGACTTGGCAGTTGAGTGGTTTCAAGCAACCACAATCAGAGCCTTTATCCCTAACGACTTATACAACTCGTTACGATTCTGGCTGGACTGAACAAGTACACAACAGTGTACATCAAATTTACATGTTTAGAATAACTTAAACAAGATTGTTACCGTGTTATTTCAAAGCCAGAGTTGTAAACAACGTGATGCAGGTGTTCTTAAAACACGTGGCAAGTAAGAGGACACTTGCCACATGTTTCTGGCGAAACTAAACAAGGAGATTAAATTGCCATATACAATTGGAAGAATATTTACTCGTGGCATGAAATGATTGTATTGTTCAGTCTTATTGGCCTGATGTGCAAAGACAGGTGTGAGTGCACTTACCTAGTTACCTAGTTGTACTTATCTAGTTGTGCTTGCGGGGGTTGAGCTCTGGCTCTTTGGTCCCACCTCTCAACTGTCAATCAACTGTGTGTGTGTGTGTACTCACCTAGTTGTACTCACCTAGTTGTACTTGCGGGGGTTGAGCTCTGGCTCTTTGGTCCCGCCTCTCAACTGTCAATCAACTGTGTGTGTGTGTGTACTCACCTAGTTGTACTCACCTAGTTGTACTTGCGGGGGTTGAGCTCTGGCTCTTTGGTCCCGCCTCTCAACCGTCAATCAACAGGTGTACAGGTTCCTGAGCCTATTGGGCTCTATCATATCTACACTTGAAACTGTGTATGGAGTCAGCCTCCACCACATTGCTTCCTAATGCATTCCATTCCATTCCATGTGTGTGTGTGTGTGTGTGTGTGTGTGTGTGTGTGTGTGTGTGTGTGTGTGTGTGTGTGTGTGTGTGTGTGTGTGTGTGTGTGTGTGTGCACTCCAGTACCCCTGTGGGAACCTTATGTAGAGGACTGGAACTATTGTACATGTGAATATGTGTTCGCCAAGATGCTTTCTGTGAAGGGGAAGAGGCAGCACGGGAGGGTGGCAGTAGTCCTGCTGTTAACTACCCACCTGAGACAACACAGTCTTTGTAATTGATGGTCAGGAGTCAGTAAAATAATATGCAAGGGAACGAGATATCCTACATCACCTGCGATGTCCTACAAGATATCCTACAATACCTGCGATGTACAACAAGATATCCTACAATACCTGCTATGTCCTACAAGATATCCTATATCTGCGATGTCCTACAAGATATCCTACAATACCTGCAATATCCTACAAGATATCCAACAATACCTACAATGTACTACAAGATATCCTACAATACCTACGATGTCCTACAAGATATCCTACAATACTTGCGATATCCTAAATAAGGTGTATCTCTTAGTTACATAGACGAAATTTACTTCAAGTTTGAACTTCATTAGGAATTTAAGTACTGTATATTAGAAGGTATTATAGATGTACATATATATTAAGTATATTAGAAGGTATATTTAGATGTATATATATATTAAGTATATTAGAAGGACACGTGGTAAATGACTGCCTTGATGGGACTGGTAGTCGATTTATACTATACATTAAAACCAAACCTACTCCCATGTGTGTTTGTGCATACATAAATGTGTTTATCCGTGCCTTCTAGAAGAGAAAATTTAGCTCTAGCACTATGCTTTCTAGCGATTGTGCCTAGTATGTTTTTAATATTTCACGATGACATCTTGGTTAATCAATATATTATGATTCTTCCCGTCATCCCTAAAACACTACTTTTTCAGCTGGTATGTGTATTTAACTGGACTGTTGTTAAGGATAAATTTTACTGGCCTATTTATATTATTCTGAAACCTACCTAGTCTACACAAGTGCTCCATTTTCATCGCTATCTCTCTGGCTTAAATTTTGTGACGATTTTCCATTATTTCATTTTGGTTTTCCTTGCTCCTCTCTTGCCATGTGCTTCCTCCAGGTTCTGGTAGATTGTAGATTACCGCAGTTCTTTCTATAGTTCTGCGACTATAGATGGGTGCGAACCTATGACCTCGGCATTGCCAGTCGCGTACTCTACCACTAGACCACTCTACCACCTAGAGCCCTAGTGGATTTCCTCAGTGATATATCCCTGTAAACACACAACATAACAATCCCTATCATTCCCTTGTTACAACTTGTTATAACGTTGTTACAACTTGATAGGTGTTAAAAGTTGTTGGAACGTTGTAGCGACGTTGTAGTTCGTTGTGTTTGGCGGGATATCACGTTACTGTGATTTCAGTGTTTCTTATCTCACTGTTGACTTAATCTACTTTCTGTCAGTCTTTATCTACTTCAGTAAAGGCTTTATCTAGTCTTGTTCCTCATCCTTCAGTTACAGTCTTTAACTGCTTGATTATCTCCTCCATTTCCCTACTTCCTTCCTTTCTTGTTTTATCTTCCCTCTTCGAATGTTTTTATTCTGTTTTCTAACGCATTCGCAGTTTCCTTCCTTTTTGGGATTTTTCTCCTTCACTTCCTCAAATTGCGTCATGGTTTTTACGCAGCGTTCTTCATTCCTGTTAAAAATGTAACCTTTTAGTCCTCGAGGACCTCATTACTGTCCTCTATCCTCTCCTGTATTTCCTGAAATTGCCTTCCAAGAGAAGCTGCCTCTTTTGCAGTGTTCTAATCTCTTATTCTCTCCTCCTCCGCATTTTCATGCATTTTCCATTGCCTCTAAATAGGCCATCCTCACTTTCTTTAAGTTCTGCTGTGATGTTGGTATTCCTTAATTCCTATTTCATATGCTCTTATAAAGACCTTATATTCCATGTGGTTTGGTTTAGTTCCATTGGACGTTCCTTTACCTAATCTAATCTTCCTTAACTGCTCCTACACACACCAAGAGGTACAACTGAGGTGAAACTGCCTTGCATTATGTTATAACACCATCACCAACTCCCTGGCATAAATCAGTGACAGGCATGGCTTAATTGCTCCTGTCGTGACATGCAGAAACATGTCCTCGTGTGTCTTTCCTCTCAGTGTGTGTGTGTGTGTGTGTGTGTGTGTGTGTGTGTGTGTGTGTGTGTGTGTGTGTGTGTGTGTGTGTGTGTGTGTCTGTGTGTGTGTGTGTGTGTGTACTCACATATTTGTGTCTGCAGGATCGAGCATTGACTCTTGGATCCCGCCTTTCCAGCCATCGGTTGTTTACAGAAATGACCCCGGTCCTATTTCCCTATCATACCTAGTTTTAAAATTATGAATAGAATTTGCTTTGCGTGTGTGTGTGTGTGTGTACTCACCTAGTTGTGTCTGCGGGGGTTGAGCTCTGGCTCTTTGGTCCCGCCTCTCAACCGTCAATCAACTGATGTACAGATTCCTGAGCCTACTGGGTTCTGTCATATTTACATTTGGAACTGTGTATGGAGTCAGCCTCCACTACATCACTTCCTAGTGCATTCCATTTACTAACTACTCTGACACTGAAAAAGTTCTTTCTAATGTCTCTGTGGCTCATTTGGGTACTCAGCTTCCACCTGTGTCCCCTTGTGCGTGTGCCACCCGTGTTAAATAATCCATCCTTGTCCACCCTGTCAATTCCCCTGAGAATTTTGTATGTGGTGATCATGTCTCCCATAGCTCTTCTGTCTTCCAGCGACGTGAGGTGCAGTTCACGTAGTCTGTCCTCATAACTCATGCCTCTTAGTTCTGGGACTAACCTAGTGGCATATCTCTGAACTTTTTCCAGCTTCGTCTTGTGCTTGACTAGGTACGGACTCCATGCTGGGGCTGCATACTCCAGGATTGACCTTACATATGTGGTATACAAGGTTCTGAAGGATTCCTTACACAGGTTTCTGAAAGCAGTTCTGATGTTAGCCAGCCTCGCATAGGCCGCTGATGTTATTGTTTTGATGTGGACTTCAGGAGACAGGTTTGGAGTGATATCAACTCCCAGATCTTTTTCTCTGTCCCGATCTCTGTTCCGATCTTTCTCACATGGTGTGTGTGTGTGTGTGTGTGTGTGTGTGTGTGTGTGTGTGTGTGTGTGTGTGTCAGTGACCCCCCCCCCCACCAGCAAGGCTTCACAGTGCACAATATCAATATTAAACAAATATACCATGAAACTACTCAGTCACTTACTTAATTAAATGTATTCTACCAGAGCTACTGAATATTGCAACATATGTTATCACTTCGTCATATTATGCAACAATACACGTCTGCTAATAATAATAATAATAAATTACAGCTAATAAAAAGGGTTTTAATATCCTCACCGAAGTTTTAACGCTTTAGTTACATTAAATACAGAATCTTCCTGTCCTCACATTTAATGCATGACACTTTTGACGCTACTGGCTCCAACGGCAAAATCACAGTGCTTTGGCGAGATTAAGGGCACGGTAAAATTGACGGCTCCTCACTACCTACTAATGAGGATTGATTTCAATGGGTTAGGCAGAGATACGTCAAATTTGACGTTTGTCAATCTACGAGGTGTGTTGGTGAATTACTGGCATCATGATGTGGAGGATACTGTCACCACATACACCAACATACACTGCCACCACTCACATACACTAACATACATGTGCCACAGGGACATTAGAAATAATTTTTTCAGTGTCAGAGTAGTTGACAAATGGAATGCATTAGGCAGTGATGTGGTGGAGGCTGACTCCATACACAGTTTCAAGTGTAGACATGATAGAGCCCAGTAGGCTCAGGAACCTGTACACCAGTTGATTGACAGTTGAGAGGCGGGACCAAAGAGCCAGAGCTCAACCCCCGCAAGCACAACTAGGTGAGTACTACACCATGACATGGTAACATCCCAGGTTGCATTGTTTTTACCATGTCGTGGTGTAGTTGTCTAAGGTGTGTGCTTGGGAGGGAAGGGAACTATCAGGGGAAAGTGCCAAGCCATTACGACTATATACCACTTGGAAGGGGTCAGGATAAGGATTTGGATAGAACGGGGGGGGAGGGGAGGAAATTACGCGTGTTATTTGACAGTACCCAGTGCACAGGTTCAAATCCTCCAAACAAAGTTTTTCTACAACTGACGCCCGACGTTAAAGCGACGGTCTCGCTTCATGCAGGTCGGCGTTCAATCCTCGACTGTCCAAGTGATTGGGCACCATTCCTCCGCCCCCCCCCCGGTCCCATCCCAAATCCTTATCCTTATCCTGATCCCTTTCCAGTGTTATATGGTCGTAATGGCTTGGCGCTTCCTCCTGATAGTTCCCATTGTATGTTCATAAATATAAAGTAGAACATGACTTGAGACAGGAGTCACATTCGCATCACCTTCTTATCGGATACAAACACCTTCACCGCCTCTTTCACCATCTTCAAAATCAAAAATATATGTAATCAAATTCTTGGCATATGAACGTGGGTTAGAACGAGGTAGAGCGTCGTTAAACATTACAGGAGAACCACACAAGGGTAACAAGATGGTCTCTGGGCTTGTTAATCAACACGTGGACACAACTGCGTTAACGAGCGCTTGGTTCGTTTAGCGTAATCACGGTAAAACACGTTTGTTTCAAGCGCCTTCCTGGGGAGGAATAGGCGGCAGCTGATCTGGCCCCCTGGTGGAGCAGGGCAGGGAGGCCTCGAACCATTGTTACCACCACAGCTGACCAAAGGGAATGACCCAGACAAGGAGGAGGTAGTCGAAGCCTACTTAAAACCAAATTCAAACTAGTATAACAACTTTTGACGATCTCCACATTCGAGTACCTTCACTCGACAAGGCAGCTGGGAACAAGAGCTAAACCTGATCTCTACACGAGTAAAAACAGACGAGTACCCGAGTACATATTTATATACTCGTCGAGGAAGCATCGTACAGAAAGTTTTAATCTCATTTATCTCGTATAATCCAATTCCCAAAGTTTCCCGCGTACGTTCTTCAAGGAGGATTAGCTGTCAAGAACTAAGTCCTCGCTTGCCACGGTGACTAAAAGGACTTCTTATAAGCTGCGAGTCATTTGTCATGATGGTAAGCCCACATCTCGCTTTATTGAGTCCACCCGCTTGGACTGGTTGGTGTACAGCCTCGCTTCTTACAGGCCGGTGTTCGATACCCCGATGTTGTAAGTAGTTGCAGGGTACCGTTCACTCACTGCTTCTTGAACAGGGCTTCTTGTGTCTCTTCCGTGTGCTATGATTAAAAAGTTTTCTCCTCATAATTGTATTTTTGACACCTCGATATATTGAAGTTATACGGGATTAGACACTAATTCCATATGACGGGTGCGTTAGTACTATTACTAGTACGACGGTTGCGTTACTACTCAAACCCGTCACTCAAGGTCACAAGTAACGAGAAAAGGGAAAATATCAAGGAGGCAATAACCAGGAGATTCTGTGATGATCCTACGTTGATAATGTTGATCCTGTGATGATCCTACGTTGATAATGTTGATCCTGTGATGATCCTACGTTGATAATGTTGATCCTGTGATGATCCTACGTTGATAATGTTGATCCTGTGATGATCCTACGTTGATAATGTTGATCCTGTGATGATCCTACGTTGATAATGTTGATCCTGTGATGATCCTACGTTGATAATGTTGATCCTGTGATGATCCTACGTTGATAATGTTGATCCTGTGATGATCCTACTGTCGGAAATTCCCGACTCAAGTAACTTCTAGTGTACCAAGCTGTAAATGCTGTTGCATCGTTAGTATAGGAATCATAATTTACCTCAGTCAGTCAGACAAAGAAATTTGAGTGTCGTGAAGTCTCATACAAAATACGAATTTGCCACGTCACCTGTTCACTAATTTTCTATAAAACTTACATTCAATTAATCCTTAAACTAACAGTCTGAAGAATAGATAAAATATAGTGTTCCCCCTCAAGACCGAAGATAATTAAATCACCAATAAAACATGCTCCTTCATCCCTGCTTGATACCTGCTTATTACTTGCTTGATACCTGCTTATTACTTGCTTGATACCTGCTTATTACTTGCTTGATACCTGCTTATTACTTGCTTGATACCTGCTTATTACTTGCTTGATACCTGCTTATTACTTGCTTGATACCTGCTTATTACTTGCTTGATACCTGCTTATTACTTGCTTGATACCTGCTTGCCACAACAAGTCGTTGGCACAAGGAGAAGCAATCCTCCCGCTAGTCACACTGAACAAAACACCAGCATCTATAAACCTCAGCAAAACTTCGCTATACACATTAAGGAATACCACAGCTCGGTTTATATGTTTAATAAGCTATACCTGGTCTTATATATTTATTATATAAATAGTTACACAGCGGGTGCAGCCATGAGAATCCACCAATATACACATAACTGTTCTCATGATGTAACCGCCTCATGGTTGTTAGTGTGTGTATTACTGTGTAAACATTCAGCAGGTGAAATAAGAAGAGTGTTGGTAACACCACAACTGGTTTTGCTAAGACGCCCAGCGACGCTCCCAGCCACATGGCCCTCGACGCTCCCAGCCACATGGCCAGGATAGTTATGGTGATAAAGAACAACATTGACCCGTCCAGACTATCCATGAGGTACCCAGCAGAGAGAGATACACACACAGGCCATGTGTACTTACCGCCCTCGACAGCAAGCATCTCGTCTGCAACAGAAAACGAGACTCATTTTAACACACATTGTTTTCCTAGCGTGTTGCAAGGACATCACTCTAGCTCATCCTGTCATACACAAGTTATGATACTTGTTGCAACGTACAATTTTGGACTGTTTAGAGCCAGAAGATCACGTTTTGTTTGACTTTGCAAAGGGCAGGAGAAAGAATTCAACAACTAAACCTTATATTACGTTGGCCTAATATAAACAAACAACTGCTAAATTAGGCCTAAAGATGGCTGTATTAGTTCTTCAATTGCTATTGTAGGATTACGACAGGCTAGTTTAGGTAGTGGCATTATTGTTCTATTTTATGGACTGTCATTTAGAGTGTTCCAATAGTTCAAAACGTGAACTTCACTTGGGTACAACAGTCTATTTTCGGACATTGGACCAATAATTGCAATAAGTTCTATCATTTATGAAGGCTGGGTTGTATAATCACTATCATCCAAACACAAGCTCATTCCACAACTTCCTGTGGCCACATTTACACATACAAAAATATTTTACAAAATAATTTAATTACATAACTCCTAGGTGTTATCCAGCAATTGTACCAGTGGTGTGTGTGTGGGGTCACATTGTTAAGCAGATTGACCCCATACCCTATCAGTGTGGGGTCAGCCAGCCAGATCCCACCCTCTATCTGTTGGGGGAGGGGGGGGGGGGTTCCCTGATACCACCCTCCGTTTGTGGTGTGTGTATATATATATATATATATATATATATATATATATATATATATATATATATATATATATATATATATATATATGTCGTACTTAGTAGCCAGAACGCACTTCTTGGCCTACTATGCAAGGCCCGATTTGCCTAATAAGCCAAGTTTTCCTAAATTAATATATTTTCTCTAATTTTTTTCTTATGAAATGATAAAGCTACCCATTTCATTATGTATGAGGTCAATTTTGTTTTATTGTAGTTAAAATTAACGTAGATATATGACCGAACCTAACCAACCCTACCTAACCTAACCTAACCTATCTTTATAGGTTAGGTTGGGTTAAGTAGCCGAAAAAGGTAGGTTAGGTTAGGTTAGGTAGGTTAGGTAGTCGAAAAAACATTAATTCATGAAAACTAGGCTTATTAGGCAAATCGGGCCTTGCATAGTAGGCTGAGAAGTGCGTTCTGGCTACTAGGTACGACATATATATATATATATATATATATATATATATATATATATATATATATATATATATATATATATATATATATATATATATATATCACAATAAGTGATCACAAGACCCAATACATCTTGACTTTCTATATACAGACAACTTTAATATATCCCCATACATTACCTCTACAAAGGAAATGGGACGAAATAAATCTTTGCCATTCTTAGATGGACTTAATCATAAATGTGAAAATTTCAGGTTCTTTGTATACAGAAAACCAACATATGTTGGGTCATGTGTACACTTTTATTCATCTTATATAACACATGGGATACCAGGACATGATATAAGAGCTGGGATACGAGGACATGATAAAATAGCTGGGATACGAGGACATGATATAAGAGCTGGGGTACCAGGACATTATATAAGAGCTGGGATACGAGGACATAAGAGCTGGGATACGAGGACCTAAGAGCTGGGATACGAGGACATGATATAAGAGCTGGGATACGAGGACATAAGAGCTGGGATACGAGGACCTAAGAGCTGGGATACGAGGACATGATATAAGAGCTGGGATACCAGGACATAAGAGCTGGGATACGAGGACCTAAGAGCTGGGATACGAGGACATGATATAAGAGCTGGGATACCAGGACATGATATAAGAGCTGGGATACGAGGACATGATAAAATAGCTGGTATACGAGGACATGATATAAGAGCTGGGATACCAGGACATGATATAAGAGCTGGGATACGAGGACATAAGAGCTGGGATACGAGGACCTAAGAGCTGGGATACGAGGACATGATATAAGAGCTGGGATACGAGGACATAAGAGCTGGGATACGAGGACCTAAGAGCTGGGATACGAGGACATGATATAAGAGCTGGGATACCAGGACATAAGAGCTGGGATACGAGGACCTAAGAGCTGGGATACGAGGACATGATATAAGAGCTGGGATACCAGGACATGATATAAGAGCTGGGATACCAGGATATGATATAAGAGCTGGGATACCAGGACATGATATAAGAGCTGGGATACCAGGATATGATATAAGAGCTGGGATACCAGGACATGATATAAGAGCTGGGATACCAGAACATGATATAAGAGCTGGGATACCAGGACATGATATAAGAGCTGGGATACCAGGACATGATATAAGAGCTGGGATACCAGGACATGATATAAGAGCTGGGATACCAGGACATGATATAAGAGCTGGGATACCAGGACATGATATAAGAGCTGGGATACCAGGACATGATATAAGAGCTGGGATACCAGGACATGATATAAGAGCTGGGATACCAGGACACGATATAAGAGCTGGGATACCAGGACATGATATAAGAGCTGGGATACCAGGACATGATATAAGAGCTGGGATACCAGGACATGATATAAGAGCTGGGATACCAGGATATGATATAAGAGCTGGGATACCAGGATATGATATAAGAGCTGGGATACGAGGACATAAGAGCTGGGATACCAGGACATGATATAAGAGCTGGGATACCAGGACATGATATAAGAGCTGGGATACCAGGATATGATATAAGAGCTGGGATACCAGGACATAAGAGCTGGGATACCAGGACATGATATAAGAGCTGGGATACCAGGACATGATATAAGAGCTGGGATACCAGGACATAAGAGCTGGGATACCAGGACATGATATAAGAGCTGGGATACCAGGACATGATATAAGAGCTGGGATACCAGGACATAAGAGCTGGGATACCAGGACATGATATAAGAGCTGGGATACCAGGACATGATATAAGAGCTGGGATACCAGGACATAAGAGCTGGGATACCAGGACATGATATAAGAGCTGGGATACCAGGACATGATATAAGAGCTGGGATACCAGGACATGATATAAGAGCTGGGATACCAGGACATGATATAAGAGCTGGGATACCAGGACATGATATAAGAGCTGGGATACCAGGATATGATATAAGAGCTGGGATACCAGGACATGATATAAGAGCTGGGATACCAGGACATAAGAGCTGGGATACCAGGACATAAGAGCTGGGATACCAGGACATAAGAGCTGGGATACCAGGACATAAGAGCTGGGATACGAGTTTCATCAGATCCAAATTTACCACAATAAGGGCACGCAACATGTGTACATTTGCAACACCTTAATACTATATAATACAATGGAGGAATTTATCATTTTAAAGTGTGTCCGAAAGTCAGATAACTACATCATACAACATGATCTATCAACCATAAAGTGACTGCAGGCTCTACCCACCACAATCAAATACACCACTAATCGCCCAAACGTCTTAAGAGAAAAAAGACAATTCGATAAACATTAAAGACACGTATACATACCCAAATATACATATACTACGAGTATATTCCTTGGTATAACTCTCCTATTCCCACTTCAAAGCTACCATGGGCCAATATGTTTTTTCAAGCACTTGTATTCACGCCAATGGTTAAAAAAAATGTAAATCTAGCAACTAATCCAGGAGGAGTGAGAGCCTTTGAAGTGCCTGGCCAGGCAATTAGCCATTCGTCTTGCTAATCAAGTTGTTTTGCCTCGTCCAAAACTTTATTCTGGTGAAGATGAGGAGTATTCACTCCTCGGGCCCTCATAGTCTCTTTATTGTGCCTTATGCTTAGTGAGTCAAGGGTCCTCATCTTGTTAACACTGACTTACCCCTCATAATGCTGCCTCACTCTCCTTACCTTCCCCTCATAATGCTGCCTCAATCCCCTTACCTTCCCCCTCATAATGCTGCCTCACTCTCCTTACCTTCCCCCTCATAATGCTGCCTCACTCTTCTTACCTTCCCCCTCATAATGCTGCCTCACTCTCCTTACCTTCCCCCTCATAATGCTGCCTCACTCTTTTTACCTTCCCCTCATAATGCTGCCTCACTCTCCTTACCTTCCCCTCATAATGCTGCCTCACTCTCCTTACCTTCCCCTCATAATGCTGCCTCACTCTCCTTACCTGCCCCTCATAACGCTGCCTCACTCCCTTTACCTTCCCCTCATAATGCTGCCTCACTCTCCTTACCTTCCCCTCATAATGCTGCCTCACTCCCTTTACCTTCCCCTCATAATGCTGCCTCACTCTCCTTACCTTCCCCTCATAATGCTGCCTCACTTCCCTTACCTTCCCCTCATAATGCTGCCTCACTCCCCTTACCTTCCCCTCATAATGCTGCCTCACTCCCTTTACCTTACTCCTCATAATGCTGCCTCACCCTCCTTACCTTCCCCTCATAATGCTGCCTCACTCCCTTTACCTTCCCCTCATAATGCTGCCTCACTCCCTTTACCTTACCCCTCATAATGCTGCCTCACTCTCCTTACCTTACCCCTCATAATGCTGCCTCACACTCCTTACCTTCCCCTCATAATGCTGCCTCACTCCCCTTACCTTCCCCTCATAATGCTGCTTCACTCTCCTTACCTCCCCCTCATAATGCTGCCTCACTCTCCTTACCTTCCCCTCATAATGCTGCCTCACTCCCTTTACCATACTCCTCATAATGCTGCCTCACTCTCCTTACCTTCCCCTCATAATGCTGCCTCACTCCCTTTACCTTCCCCTCAATGCTGCCTCACTCCCTTTACCGTACCCCTCATAATGCTGCCTCACTCTCCTTACCTTCCCCTCATAATGCTGCCTCACTCTCCTTACCTTACCCCTCATAATGCTGCCTCACTCCCCTTACCTTCCCCTCATAATGCTGCCTCACTCCCCTTACCCCTCATAATGCTGCCTCACTCCCCTTACCCCTCATAATGCTTCCTCACTCTCCTTACCTTCCCCTCATAATGCTGCCTTACTCTCCTTACCTTCCCCTCATAATGCTGCCTCACTCCCTTTACCTTCCCCGCAATGCTGCCTCACTCCCTTTACCTTACCCCTCATAATGATGCCTCACTCTCCGTACCTTCCCCTCATAATGCTGCCTCACTCTCCTTACCTTACCCCTCATAATGCTGCCTCACTCCCCTTACCTTCCCCTCATAATGCTGCCTCACTCCCCTTACCCCTCATAATGCTGCCTCACTCCCCTTACCCCTCATAATGCTGCCTCACTCTTCTTACCTTCCCCTCATAATGCTGCCTCACTCTCCTTACCTTCCCCTCATAATGCTGCCTCACTCCCTTTACCTTACTCCTCATAATGTTGCCTCACTCTCCTTACCTTCCCCTCATAATGCTGCCTCACTCTCCTTACCTTACCCTTCATAATGCTGCCTCACTCCCCTTACCTTCCCCTCATAATGCTGCCTCACTCCCCTTACCTTCCCCTCATAATGCTGCCTCACTCTCCTTACCTTCCCCTCATAATGCTGCCTCACTCTCCTTACCTTCCCCTCATAATGCTGCCTCACTCTTCTTACCTTCCCCTCATAATGCTGCCTCACTCTTCTTACCTTCCCCTCATAATGCTGCCTCACTCTCCTTACCTTCCCCTCATAATGCTGCCTCACTCCCCTTACCTTCCCCTCATAATGCTGCCTCACTCTCCTTACCTTCCCCTCATAATGCTGCCTCACTCTCCTTACCTTCCCCTCATAATGCTGCCTCACTCTTCTTACCTTCCCCTCATAATGCTGCCTCACTCTCCTTACCTTCCCCTCATAATGCTGCCTCACTCTTCTTACCTTCCCCTCATAATGCTGCCTCACTCTTCTTACCTTCCCCTCATAATGCTGCCTCACTCTCCTTACCTTCCCCTCATAATGCTGCCTCACTCTCCTTACCTTCCCCTCATAATGCTGCCTCACTCTCCTTACCTTCCCCTCATAATGCTGCCTCACTCTTCTTACCTTCCCCTCATAATGCTGCCTCACTCTCCTTACCTTCCCCTCATAATGCTGCCTCACTCCCCTTACCTTCCCCTCATAATGCTGCCTCATTCTCCTTACCTTCCCCGTCATAATGCTGCCTCACTCTCCTTACCTTCCCCTCATAATGCTGCCTCACTCTCCTTACCTTCCCCTCATAATGCTGCCTCACTCTTCTTACCTTCCCCTCATAATGCTGCCTCACTCTTCTTACCTTCCCCTCATAATGCTGCCTCACTCCCCTTACCTTCCCCCTCATAATGCTGCCTCACTCTCCTTACCTTCCCCTCATAATGCTGCCTCACTCTCCTTACCTTCCCCTCATAATGCTGCCTCACTCTCCTTACCTTCCCCTCATAATGCTGCCTCACTCTTCTTACCTTCCCCTCATAATGCTGCCTCACTCTTCTTACCTTCCCCTCATAATCCTGCCTCACTCCCCTTACCTTCCCCTCATAATGCTGCCTCACTCTTCTTACCTTCCCCTCATAATGCTGCCTCACTCTTCTTACCTTCCCCTCATAATGCTGCCTCACTCTCCTTACCTTCCCCTCATAATGCTGCCTCAATCCCCTTTCCTTCCCCCTCATAATGCTGCCTCACTCCCCTTACCTTCCCCTCATAATGCTGTCTCACTCTTCTTACCTTCCCCCTCATAATGCTGCCTCACACTCCTTACCTTCCCCCTCATAATGCTGCCTCACTCTCCTTACCTTACTCCTCATAATGCTGCCTCACTCTTCTTACCTTCCCCTCATAATGCTGCCTCACTCTCCTTACCTTCCCCTCATAATGCTGCCTCACTCTCCTTACCTTACTCCTCATGATGCTGCCTCACTCTTCTTACCTTCCCCTCATAATGCTGCCTCACTCTCCTTACCTTCCCCTCATAATGCTGCCTCACTCTCCTTACCTTATCCCTCATGATGCTGCCTCACTCTCCTTACCTTATCCCTCATGATGCTGCCTCACTCTTCTTATCTTATCCCTTATAATGCTGCCTGGAAGGCCATGCCCAAAATTGGTCCACTAACATACTACAGGGAACGATATGGCAGGAACTGCAGAACAGAAGTAGTGAAGAGACAGATCACACCCGAAGAACACTGTACCAACATCAAAAGGTCCACAGCTCTTCCATCTCCTGCCACTAATACTAAGAAACCTTCCTGGACGACAAGTTCACGTGTTCGATAACTGGACAAGTTCCTTGCAGGAAGCATCGAACCAGCCGGGTTGTGATGGATGTGTGTGGGGTCTGCGGGACACAGCAAGCAATAGTCTGTTAGATCAAATTATCACAAGTGTGGCCCCAAGCCGGGTTTAGGAAGGCGAAGAACTCCCAGAATGTAATGTAAGCAAACTTCAGGACAGAGTGCTCACTAGGACACAAGGGCAGAGTACCCACTAGGACAGAGCACCAACTAGGGCAGAGTAGCCACTAGGGCAGAGTAGCCACTAGGGCAGAGTAGCCACTAGGGCAGAGTAGCCACTAGGGCAGAGTAGCCACTAGGGCAGAGTACCCACAAGGGCAGAGTAGCCACTAGGACAGAGTACCCACAAGGGCAGAGTACCCACTAGGGTAGAGTACCCACTAGGGCAGAGTACCCAC